CATTACTATACGTTGTGTTCTCGGAGACACCTTCTTGTCCAGACCAACATGACCCATGGATCTGACAGGGGAATACACTCTCTACTTACGCACACCAACTGTACATAATAATCCGTTGTCCGTCATTGGCAATCATACAATCGGCCCGCCGGTTTTCAACGGTCGAAGTTAATTGTTGTTGTCCACCCACAATCCACAGTCAGCATCATTTTTATTAAGGAACCTCCCCGCTGTTTCACCATAGAACACGGTCAGTGTTCTCAGAAATAATTATGTATCGCTTTAATGCTTCACGGAACACAATCTCATCAATTATCTGTGTACTTGTAAAATGAAATATCTGTAGATCGGCCATCGAATAGTTCATTGTATCGTGGAATATCACGTGAACGCGCGCGTCGACACGACCTATCATAGTCATACTGAATCAATTGACAACACCAACAATATAATGGCCAAGAAACGAAAGAGACCCAACAGACATCCTCCAATCGTCAACAAGACTCCTCCTAATCCTCGTACTACTACTACTGATCCCACCCATCCTGTCATCTCCCTCTACTACCCCCATGTATTCACCCTGAGGCAATATCTCCTACGTCAACTCCCCGTTTCCTCCAAATTGCGCCGTCGTCGAATTGCTTCGTTGAGTGAGGTCACCGCTGCAAAAGATGAATATCATCGGTGGTCAGCGCACGTCCCAGGCCTTGTTCATTTGCTGGACACCACGCTGGTCGGGGTGCTCCACGAATCACCTCCAACAATCAGCCAGGAACGACGACGGGATTTCGCTGCTTTTACGGAGTTGCAGTCGCAGTCTGGTTCGCACTTGGGGAGTACATCTGCGCAATCTGAGGTATGCATACTGGCTCTGAAACTGTAGTGATAGTAACTGACTGGTTAGATTGTCGAATATGTCATTGCAACACTGTTCAACCGCAATGGCTACCAGCGGCCCCAGCACCTTCTCGCTCATGGTTTTCAGCGATTCATGGGCCCTCGGGCAAATGAACCTCAAGCTATGACCAATATCCCTGGCATTATGGTTCAGTATCCGAATAAGAATGTCCAGACTCTGCAGCAAATTCCCTGGACAGATGTCCTAAATCTTCTAGGAAGCAATGGCGTGGATATTATGCTCAAGTTGCTGTTCGACTGTGGTATCTTCCCTTGTATAGACCATCGAAAAGGCATATTTTATCAGCTTAGTGGTAGGCTCTTCCTGCTACTCTTTTTTTGTGATTATAATTGCTTATTTGGTAGGTTTACCGTTGCCTATGCTGGAATCGCTGGACAAGACAGGTCCAGGGTCAAACCAGCCTCCATCCAAATACATTCCTCCACCCCTTCAAGACCTGCAGTCAAGGCCAGGAAACAAGAACCAAGACACTCGTGAAGAGGCACAGGTCAAACCAAATAGCGTCATCTTCCTCCGTCGACGTGCACTTTACGCTCGTCCAAACCTTAACGCAAAAGGCCAAGTTCGCTTTGGACTAAAACATGATCGTATGTACTTTCACAATCGCTCAGTACCAAACTAACTAGAGCAGATGTCCTCAACCGCTTCTTTTCGGCCAATTCTTTGGTGCAGACCATGCATATAATGCAGCATATCTTCCCTAGACAATTCGGTCTGACTAATGCATTTACACCAACGGATATTCGAGAACAAGCCCAGTCATTCAATAACTCTTTTGGCGATCAGTCCATACGGAACAAATACTTTGTACAGAACGGAGATGGGCAATATGAGGTACGAAAAATACCAAAAAGGCTCCGTGGAAAGCCCGTAGAGCTAGTACAACAGCTCCAAAATCGGCACAAGCACTGCTCCTATACCGAACTACTGAGATATTATTGCTCTTCTGAGGTGAGTTGATCGCCAAGAAAATAATAGCCTGGTGTTGACTCTATAGGCTACTGGACCGTGGAAACTCGGACCTGCGAGCTCGCAGTCCGGCTCTGACACTAGTCATGGGTCCACCTCCCAGCCGTTGGTCACCCAGGCACAATTCCCGCAACCATCCTCTGAATCATCGGATAAGTTACCAATGGAAGAATCGGGCTTTGAAGCGCCTGTGCTACCACAACAGAGCGTCACTTTGACTGACTATGCAACGCCCGCCTCATCAGTATCGGCCTTCTGCCGTGCCGTTCTGCGAAAACTGATCCCTCCATTGTTCTTTGGCACAGGTCACCATGGATCCTCAAACCAGCAAGCCATCTTCAAACAGGTAGACCGGTTTATCCGCATGCGCCGATTTGAAAGCCTGAACCTTCACGAGGTCTGCCAAGGCATTAAAATCACGTCCATTCCCTGGCTGGAGCCTCCCAAGTTGACGTCTGAATCGTCTCAATGCAAGCTATCCCAGTCCGATATGCAGAAACGTACCGAGTTGCTGCACGAATTTATGCATTATCTCTTCGATTCAATCTTGATCCCACTAATCCGGACTCACTTTTATGTCACTGAATCGCAATCCCATCGCAACCGTCTCTTTTTCTTCCGTCATGACGTTTGGCGTAGGCTAACAGAACAACCACTGGCTACACTCAAATCGAACGTATTCGAAGAACTAAAACCTGAGATGGCGCAGAAGGTTTTGGGACGACGATCCTTGGGATACAGCTTCTTACGACTCCTCCCCAAGAGCACAGGTGTCCGTCCGATTATAAATTTACGACGACGCACGTGGGTGAAATGCAATTGGCCAGGAAAGCAAGGCTCCTACTTGGGAGCGAGTACCAATTCGACGGTCACGCCTATTCACAACATGCTTAATTATGAAAAAACACGGGCTCCTAGTGCGTTGGGCTCAGCTTTACTCTCTGTGGGAGACCTCCATCCCAAACTGAGAAGCTTCAAAGACCATCTCCTAAAACAGCATGAGGGGTCCTTGCCGACCTTGTATTATGTGAAAGTCGATATCCAATCCTGCTTCGACACTATCCCCCAGCAGAAGTTAATCCGTCTCATCGAGGAGCTGGTCTCCGAGGAGGCATACCATATCACCAAGCACGTGGAACTTCGACCGTCCGATGAGTTTGGTGGTGTATGGCTTTCAGAAGAGCCAACCCGCTCAAGCAAGCCACAAAGAAAGTATGTTGGTCGGGCCGCTCCAGCCTCCAAGCCGCAATCTGTACCAGATGCTTTCACAGCTGGAGTGACGAGTCGTCGACGAAACACGGTGTTTGTCGATACCTTAGCACAGCGCGAGCATCACAGTGAGGACTTATTGGATCTACTGGACGAGCATGTCCGAAATAACCTAATAAGAATTGGCAAGAAGTATTTTCGCCAGCGGAACGGGATCCCTCAAGGGTCCATGCTCTCAAGTCTTCTGTGCAATTACTTCTACGCAGAGCTGGAGCGGGAGGTTCTTGGCTTTTTACACCCAAACCAAGCCCTGCTCCTCCGCTTGGTAGACGACTTTTTGCTTGTCACGACCGATGTCGACATGGCGATGCGTTTCTTACATGTCCTGATACGGGGTCAGCCTGCATATGGAGTCTCAGTACATCCAGCCAAGAGTCTTGTGAATTTTGCTGCGGCCGTGGACGGGATTCAAATTCCCCGGCTCGTGGGATCTACACGCTTTCCGTACTGCGGGAACCTAATCGACACGCACACGCTGGAGATTTACCGTGACCAAAATCGGTTGCTAGAAGGTGGCGATACGGCCGCAGAGACTCTGTCAAATGCGCTCACTGTCGAGTCCGCCCGAGCTCCTGGTCGTTCCCTCCATCGCAAAGTTCTAGCCGGCTTCAAATTGCAGATGCATCCAATGTATCTCGACACGCAACATAACTCGCGAGGTGCAGTCCTACTCAACCTATATACCAACTTCGTCACCTCCGCCATGAAAATGTACCGATACCTGAAATGTCTACAAGGATGCGCCCATCCATCACCGCCAATAATCATTCGTACCATTCAAGGTCTCACGCAACTAGCCCAACGACTGGCCCGCTCGCGACGCGGAGAACAGTCCGAAACACTGTCGACAAATACACAATGGGTAGCGCCCATCAGTGACGTACCGCCGTCACAAGTGCAGTATCTCGCCGCTTCTGCGTTTCGGTTCGTACTGGGCCGCAAACAAACACGGTACGCTGTAGTGCTGCGCTGGCTAGATAGTGTGTGCAAGACCACCCGGCCGAAAGCAGATGGGACGGCCGTGCGTATTGGGCAGGTGGTAAGGCAGGGGAATTCGACGTTTGGGGAATGGCGGTTTTGACGTTGCTAATTCTACAGAGTACTAACCCGTTTTCGACATGTCTACATCGATAGTTTGGATCACACTATAGATCGGAGAATAAGGCATTATGGCAATAATGTAGCAGGACTACTATACATAGTGTAAACATGTTGAAGCCATGGTTCATAGTTTTGTACCTGAACATGCCATTCCACGGAACACCCAGGAAGGGGCTAAAAAGGGGGAGGCGATGGGCATCAGGATCTATGTCCATGACCCCCGATGCCTCTTGTGTCGGTCCTCGTCTCATATTCCGCAGTACCACGACATCATTCCCTCGTGTAGTATTAGTCGAATGCGCATTCTATCAGCTTACATTCTGTTAGAGATTCAATATCCTAACCCGAGGTAAGATTCTCTCTGTTTTGTGTGTGTGTAAACCTCCGTACATCCCGTAACACTCATACCGTAAGTAATCTTATCTATTTTCAGCACATGTTGTAAATTACTGTAACCCCCTCTGTCAAACCATGGCACGCGATCAAGCTTGGACCAACTATAGTGTCTCCACGGCTGTACCCGTATGGTAACAAAACGGATTGGCCAGACCGCGTCTGTTGTGGCCTGAGGCTCTTGATCTGTACGATACAGGTATGTACAATACCGTCACATCCCCAACTTCGATCATTCGAACCTTCTTTTGTTTCTCTTCTTTCTTGCTTCTCTTTCCACATCTTCACTCTTTCTTTTTGTTGTTTCGGGACTCTTCTGATGTGTTGGGAGAGTTTATCATATGTCGAATTTTCTCTAACTGATATCACTCTCTTTTCCTGTCTGCTGACTATATCTAAACTAATAGTAAGTACTAGTATCACCCCTGTTCCTGTTGGTGGTTCATTTCCGGTGTTTCCTCTTTCCTCCTTGTCGAACCTCAATGCAACACCTTCTGTTGCTTTTCTTGGCTTGTTTCCCCTCCGGATCTGCTGGCTTCCTGCCTACTAACCTCTGACTTTGCTCAGGACACTGCCGGATTTGGTGTCTTTCTGCATTCGTTCGCCTCCGCTGGTCTCGCATCCGACCGTCCATTCGTTTTCGATCTCCTCATTCCCAAGAGTCCTCCCTTACTCTCTCTCTTTATTCCTTCTCGATCCCAATCGACACAATTTTCTGGACTTTCTGATTCAGCCAAAGCAAGTTAGATGAGATGACGACCATTTGCACAACAACCCCGAACTCCCCGCCTGAGCTGTCCGGCTCCAAGTCGTCCAAGTCCTCGTCTTTCCGCTCGTCTTCGCAACTGTCTGGTCCGGATGGCATCTTCACCGATATCTCGAATTTTGAGGACATTGGGCTCGAGGATGACGCCGATTTGTCATATATGGACGATTCCGCCGCTGCCGCTGCTGCCACTCCGTATGGTCGAAACCGTTCATCTACGGGCCGCCTTCAGGGCAAAAGTGCTGCGACTAGTACGACTCGTGACCTGACTTCGATGCCGAAACGGAATCAGTATCCGCCCTTGCAGAACCACGCTAATGGTGCATTGAGTGCGACTCCGACACCGTCCTCGAAGCTTCGCGCCGGAGGTACCCAGAAGAGACATTCGACAACGGCACAGAACCAGCGCGCCCGCTCTATATCGCCATTCCGTCCTCATTCTACCCTCGGAGCTTCCCCTTCAACGCAGAACTTGGCCTTGTCTCCTGGCACCCCGCGCCCGCTGAGCCGGAACAATTCTTGGCAACCGAATCGCAAGTCTGTCAAGGATCTGGAAGCTGAATATCACGACTCCGACGAAGAGTTACCTGAGGATGCCAGCCTCTGGAATGTGCCCATCTCACCCCGTCCCATGCAGGATCGTAACCCGTCGCGCAGTGTTAGTCCCGATGGCCGCAATGCTGCTCCGCGGCCTCTGCCGCTATCGCATTCGGTGTCGGAGCTGTCAGTGGCCAAGTCGCCAGCTACGTCGCCTGGTGCGTCTCGAAATCGACAATCAGTCCGGTCGACCTCTGCTGGGCCTGAACGAGGCCAGATCTCTCCCCGCAATCCACGTGTTTATTCCTACAACAGCATGATGTCCGACTTGTCCGAAGAAGCCAAGATCATCACCGAAGCTCTGGAGTTCCATGCAGAGGAGAAAACTCACAACCGTGGAGACAACCTGCAGAGTGGGCAATCATCGCTACGGTCAAGTACCGACTCCAAAAATGGGTCCAAGACACCAATTGAACTGCCTCCGTTACAGAAGTCCAACATCATGATCGACCCCCTTCCCATCAGCAAGGAAAAGGAACGGGTACTCTCGCGAACTCGTCCGAGTTGGCTCCCTCCGAAGAACCAGAAGGAAGAAAAGAAGCATATAAAAGAGTACAAACAGATGATGGCTTACTCGCGTGAGGCTGACAAACGACGGGCGGCCAAAGCTGCTTCTGCGCAATGTGAAAAAGATAATACCCGTGAGACGCTCAAAAACATCTGGGACGAATACGTGTACCCCAACTGGGACCAGGTCATAGCTCAGCCGCGTACTCGGGAGCTGTGGTGGCGTGGAATACCCTCGCGTAACCGCGGTGCAACCTGGCAGCGTGCGATTGGCAATGAATTGTCATTGACAGAAGAAACGTATCATCGCGCATTACAGCGGGCCAAGGATGTACGGTCCAGGTCTGATGGTGATACTGGGGAGAGCAACAAACGGATGCGGGAATGGTTTGATGCGATCGACGAGGATGTCTCGAAGGCGTTCCCGGATTTGAAACTCTTCCAGGAAAGTGGGCCATTACGGGAGACATTGATTGATGTCCTGCAGACGTATTCGATGTATCGCAGTGACGTGGGTTATATTTATGGCCTTCACACTATTGCAGCTCTGCTCGTTCTTCAATTTCCATCACCTGCTTCCGCATTTCTTGCCATGGCGAATGCCCTCAACCGACCACTTCCCGTGGCATTCCTTACTCTGGATCGTGGTGCCGTTGAACGGACCTATACACTGGCGTCGGCGACGCTTCGCTACAAGGTCCCCCGCCTGTCGTCGCACCTCTACGAAACCCTCAAACTCAGCCACGAAGAGATCTGGGAACCGATCTTCCGCTCTCTTCTCTCAAACGGTCTCGACCTGGAGCGCCTGAGCCGCGTGTGGGATTGCTGGGTATTCGAAGGAGACCGGATTCTGCTTCGCGCAGCCGTCGCAGTCCTTGGCAGTCTCCAATCCCAGCTGTTCGGATTCACCATGCCCAATGACGAGAGCCGCATCGCTGTCCGCAATATCCTCGGTTGGGGTCCGCGTCATATGGGTACTAAGCCGAAGGACCGACACAGTGCGCCTGCAGCACCCGCTGCTGGTTTCGGTGGTGGAAAACTCGCTCATGCATCGGAAGGGGATTACTGGGTTCTTTCGTCGGTCGGTGATGATGATGGGTTCATGAATGAAGTTCGGGAAGCGGGTAAAATACGGAACTGACATTGATACTTATATACCAATACGGGTAGCGCGCCCACTGCTATTTCGTTTGTCTTTTTACACTCGTTCATCAACTCTTTTTCCTTCTCTGGATATACTTTTCGGCCGGTTACCTTTCGAGGACCAGAATGCCAATTATACTTTTTACTCATCTTGTCACAACCCTACCATTGATTGATTCATGCAAAGGGAAACAGGAAAGTTGATTTTATCTGATTTGAGCACGCAGTCGTTTTTGCTTCACGGAGTGATCAGGAGATTATCATATTGTTATTCAGTATAGTTTTTATTTTTTTATTTTTTTTTTTTTTAGAGTTTAGTTAGACTTGGACTCTGAACTCAGGTGTCTGGTTTGTTTTGGTTTCTTGATACTTGATCGTGTTTTGGTTCGCTGAGACTGGTTTTTGTTTTAGTATGGTCTTTAATTATATGATTACTTCAAGTTGTTGAGTGCTGAGTACAGTTTGGTTCAAAATTGTAGTCATACTCTTTAGGTCTGTGCTGTACCTATGGGCAACCACATGTAAGGTAGTATATGACAGATTGGCAATAAACTCGTACTATGCTGCGCATTTTCTGCAAATCGATCGCCTTTCTGACTAAAATGAACCTGTCATGTCCTCCTTCATCTTGTTCGGAAAGAACCCCTGTCAGGGCTTGATCATTGTCCACTGTGTGGGCAGGTTATGGTATACGGTGAGGAATAGGAAGAACTGCCACTTTTGTTCCTTTGTTGTGCCCGTCTGTAATTGTGAGAGATAGGGAAAAGGCCGTATAAAATCCTCCCAATGGAAGTCTGCAACTAATAGTTCTATTACGGGTGAACTAGTTCCAGATCTCTCAAAAAACGCCTCGAGGTGCCGGCAAAGGGTTGCCCACAAAGGGTGCGTTTCTCGCAATCATCCAAAAAGGTCTCATGGTTGGTGCCTTTCCCAATTCACCATTCCAGATGAAAGGCTGAAAGACCACACAAACACTATTTATATCCATTAACTAATGTCGATTGAAACCTTGACTGATGTTGCACCCAAACAACCCTCTTCTAGTAGTGGTGTCCGGTCTCAGTGAGGTAGGTGTGTGGAATTGTTTCTGTCTTCTCTGTACACTTTCTGTGCTCTTCTGTCCTGGTGCTTTCGCAGCTCCCCTGCTGTTTGCTGCCAGCCCATTTCAAGATATCATTGATGTTCTGAGAATCAAGCCGCCCTCTCAGGAAAACGAGGCCCGGAATGGCGACGCCTGCTCAAATTTGTAATTATAAACTTTGCTCGTGGAGTTATGTAATAGCCGTATTTTATTTTCAGGTCTATCAAAGGTTTAAAACGTATGAGTCTCGGGCTCGTCCGTTGGGCGTTGGGAATGGCTGGTTAATTGAAAATAACAAATTTCTTGAACTGAGTTTGGGAGTTTTTTTTTTTTTTTTTTTTTTTTTTTGGCGCGCTCCCTATGCATCACTGTATAAACACATCAAGCCCGTAAATATACCAGATGTCACTATTTACGGGTTTCATAAATCAATTGACCACAACATTCCAGGCTATATGACAACTTGGGATTCATCATTTGAGGGGTAGCATTCTCAGGTAGTTTGAGGAAGAGAGGGATGGGACGCATATGTCTACTTTCCCTCCCTCACTCGGTAAATTTTCTATTTCTGTTTTAGGTCCGACAACAGTGAGTCTGTCCCTAATTCACTGCTGTTCAACCTGAAGACAGGTGTATCGGGAAGAAACTCCGGAGTTCTATACTAAGAGAATATTCCCAGTATTATAGGTACGGCCTTTCCATGTTTCGGTTCCAATCCTAAATAAAGCAAACAATTTAGCAGTTTCTCTCACTCACAATCAAAGGCAAATTTAAGGCGTGAGTCCATCCACTGACTTGTAGATAGGGCAGATTCGAGGCGTTTATGTAAACTAGCCAATTTGGGAATAGTACGTGGCTGAGATCAAAATTATGTCATCCATAATTTATGTACCTGACTCAGCAATAAGTTATGCAACTTGTACATATCGCCTTTCTCTCCAGTCTGCTCTACAAGACTCGGAATACAACAAGACAAGACGAGTTGCTCACAAAATCTCAGAAAGGACTTACGGTCTGCAGGTTTCGGTAAACTTTCAAAAAGGAGACAGACGGACAGGCCGAGAATTAATACATAACACGGCCCTTTGGCTGAATTGGGAAATCCCGAGGTTCTTTGGCCTCAGCACTGATTGCGTATAAAGTCCTACTGTTTTTTCATACCTAACTAGATTCTTAATCCGTTTTTTACTCTCTCATTGCCACAGTCAACATGTCCATCTCTAACCGTCAGGTCATCTACGCAAATACGCCGTCGCCAGCCATCAACCCCTCGTTGGACAACGGCACCTTCAAGCTGAATACCACCTCCCTCCCCAACGGCCGCAATGAATCCATCCCTCAAGACAAAGTCCTCGTTCGCGTACACTACCTCTCCCTCGACCCTGCTATGCGCCAATGGCTCACAGCCAAACGCTCCTATATCGCCCCCGTCGAGCGCGGCAGCGTCATGCGCGGCCAGAGCATTGCCCAGGTCGTAGCCGTGGGTACGGACCTCACCTCCCAATACGCCGCGGGCGACTGGGTGGTCGCCTACTCGGGCTGGCAGGAATATGCGCTTCTGGGGGCTAAGGAGGCGCAGAAGGTCACCGTGCCGGCTGGTGGTCGCCCCACCGACGCCATGTCGGTTCTGGGCATGACAGGTCTTACAGCATACTTTGGTATGTTGGAGGTTGGGCAGCCGCAGCCCGGGAATACGGTTGTTGTGTCTGGTGCAGCTGGTGCAACGGGTATGGTTGCCGGACAGATTGCGAAGATCAAGGGTGCGAAGCGGGTTGTTGGATTGGCTGGCAGCGCGGATAAGTGTGACTTCTTGGTTAAGGAGCTGGGTTTCGATGCTGCCATCAACTACAAGGATGCCGATTGGAAGAAGCAGTTGAAGGAAGCTACTCCGGAATACATTGATGTATTCTTCGACAATGTAGGAGGTGAGATTCTCGATGCTTGTCTGGCACGCGCGGCGCGTGATGCACGGTTTGCCATTTGCGGTGCTATCAGTCAATACAATGCGGCCAAGCCGCAGGGTCCGGCCAGTTTCATGACGGTCATTGTAAGCTACTTCCTACGTCCGCCTCTTCTACTGTGAAAAGAGCTAACCGGAACAGTCACAACGAGTCACCATGAAAGGATTCATTGTGTTCGACTACGCGAAGAAATACTCTACGGCCCTTAACGATCTCGCGACGTGGCTGTCGCAGGGTAAACTCAAGCGCAGGGAGCACATCGTCCCCGGGGGCCTGGAGGCGGCACCACGGGCATTAGTGAACCTGTACGAAGGCGCGAATACGGGCAAGATGATGGTTGAAGTTGCTCCAGTTGAGGAGAAGGCTCGACTGTGAGCGCGGTCGTGTAGATTTATTTTATCGTAGCGTGCGAATCCAAGTACACCTGTCGACGTCATACTGATCCAAGAGGATTTAACACTAACTACAAGAAATACATAGTTTGATTGATTCTTTTGTATTTAGTCTCTTAGTTTTCTATCCATCTTCTCAATAGTCTTTTATAGTCTTTTCAATAGTTGAACTGCAAAATGTTCGTATCTCGACGCTTAGCAGTGAGTGCACAGTTTCGCCAACTCGCCTACCAACCAAGAGCAATTCCCATTCAAACCAGCTCATTCTCAACATCAAGATGCCATGACGCAATCTCCAATTCCCTAAGGCAGAAGGCCCAACAGAACAACCAACAATTCAAACTCGACAACCTCTTCAATGTCAGAGACAAAGGTATGCATACATTACTCGTGCCTTTTATATATTATACATCTAACAAGCATAGTTGCACTCATATCCGGCGGTGGAACCGGCATAGGCCTAATGGCCACACAAGCACTCGCAGTCAATGGCGCAAAAGTCTACATCACAGGCCGTACAGAGGAGAAATTGAATCGCGTGGCCGAACTATATGGCGAAGATATCCCCGGCTCTATTATACCCGTACCGGCCGATATCACATCTAAGGAGTCGATTAAGAAGCTCGCGGATACTATTTCACAGCGTGAATCTCATCTGTCCATATTGATTAACAATGCTGGTATCTCAAGCCACACGCAGACGACGGAGCATGACAACGCCAGTGATCTACGCAAGAGCCTTTTCGACGACCCCGATGCAACGATAAAAGACTGGGAGAATGTATACCGGACCAACGTCCCGCAGCTCTTCTTCATGACAACCACATTCCTGCCTCTCCTCGAAAATGGCTCAAAGGCGCATCATGGCTGGTCCAGCACGGTCATCAACATCTCTTCCATCTCCGGAATCGTCAAGACAGCACAGCACCACTTCGCATATAACGCATCCAAAGCCGCTGCAGTCCATCTAACCAAGATGCTCGCAAACGAAATCAGCGGCTCACCGGAAGAAAGACTACCGATAAGGATTAATAACATCGCACCCGGTGTGTTTCCGAGTGAAATGACCACCGGGGAGAGTGATGAGATACAGAAGAGTTCTATCCCGAAGGAAAAGTATGAGAAGAAGGTTCCCGCGAGACGGCCAGGGAAGGATGGGGATATGGGAAATGCAGTGTTGTTTACGGCGACGAATCAGTATCTGAATGGACAGACGGTGGTTGTTGATGGGGGTTATGTGTTGGCTGCTGGGTCGGTTTAAGGTGGATAGCTTTGGTGAGCGTTGCCTTAGATGTATATAGAATAAGTGTGTTTATAACCTGGATAGCAAGAAATTGAAGGAACGCGGCATTTCTTCCGATTAACTGAATAGAGCATCTGTATTGGCGTAGATAGTAAGTTAATACCACTTATGAGTCTACTTGCATATGTATGGGCTCTAGTCGTCCGACGGCTGTTGGAAGACAATGATATAGCAACATGGTCGCTAGATTCTAACCCTAAGAGGCTATACGTACAGCACCTAGCACGCTATGCAAAATTGTGCTATAAATTTTCGTTCCCTTTGATCGAAATTGCAATACTCTCGGCTCCATCCAAGCCTATCCTTTCCCAGAACCTCCTGACTACGTCTACAATGATTTTTCAAGTTCAAATGTATAACATCCGTGAATCTATCTTTCCTGCAAATACGGTGGTTTCCTTCACGCCTTCCACTTCTCCAGGTGTTGATAATACGGCAGTACGTGCTAAGCAACCAGGGTAGGAAAACGCTTATGGTAGAAGTAATGTTTATCAGAGACACATGATGTTCAAGTATAGGAAGAAGCATTGATACTTCAGCTATGTATATTGACCAGGTATCTTTAATTATTTTCCTTTCACACTAATGCACACAAAATGAAGAGTCCTTTAATAACGACTCAAGCCTCAAACCCCCGAGCCTGCCTCCCCCTCTTGATGTAGGAACTTCCTTCTTCACAAGCTCCCGCTGTCCAGAAACCTTGACAAAGATATCCTTATAGTCCTCATCCTTAGTATCCGTGGCGACTGCGCCGGAGTTGAAACCTTTCTCCCACCAAATCTTTGCAACCCATCCGACTGCCCGTACCACAGGGGTCCATCAACCCCTTTCTAGTTGCAGCAGCAATGAGCGTCTTCGGAGTCTTGTCTCGCAACTGATTACCCTTATGCTTCAGCAGCCAGGTATATACTGCAGAGACCTCACTGTTAAGTTGGTTTGACAGTTTTGTTCCCTGCTATGACGAACTTCATCCTAAAATTCCTCGCATACAAGTTATGCAGAACAACCGTCTCCGTTCTCAAAGACCGCTCACCTAAAACGGCAACCCATCTCTTTTCAGCAGTCCGCCCATTTTCCATCTGGGGAATGGGCTCTGCGGGAAACTGACGCAATTCGGCATCTGTCTTGTCAAGGAAACCCGTCGTGAAATCGTTAACTGGGATGTCGGTCGCCCAGTCGCCGACGTTGGGTTAGTCAAAGGCACGGACTAGGCTGAAGAAGTCCACTGCGAGACCGGGTCGGGGACGGTGCCACCACTCATCACAGTAAGTGTCTATATACCGTCCAAAGTATGACTACTAGCCCTCAAGTATCAATCATCTTTCAAAAGGCAGGAGAACGCATATTTCCGAGCCATGGTGGTCGCAGCTCACGGAGGTCATTTGGATACGCTTGAACTTCGAAGTGCTAAGAGATCTACCTTCAAGCTGCCAGAAGGGTTGCAGCAGAACATGCTCTATGAAGCTGTCTTTTATAAACCGAGAAGCGCTAGTACGAATGCTGCTGATAGATGGCTGGTGTGTATTGTTTTCTATCAAGGCGCTATGGCTTTCTCCTTGCTATATCCGCTACTCAGGGACACGCCAGTATAGCCAGTCTTCTTCTGGAGTACAGAGCGGAAGACCATGCACCGTGGCTCAGCGACTTTGTAATTTCCTTGGGTATCGATCTTAGGACAAGATTAATCGGTCGTTCTTCTGGAAAGGAAAAGTCCAGATTAAACATAAAGGGAGACATTTTGAGTACCAAGAGAGCATGGGAATTAGTTAGGAAACATTGATGGCGAGCTATCAGAGGACAGAAAATATCCTGAACCAAAGGTCGGTCTTGATAACTTGAAAGTCGATGCTTATTCTCTTCGATTCGTGTGGCATACTTTATATCTGTTTTGCTGGCTTCCAGTCCAACGGCCAGCAGTCTAAACTTGGTACACGATGCTATACTGGAGTTGTTGATCTATTCTTGTCTTGGTTTCTATTTTAACTTGTTATAAGGGCTTGGTAGTGCAAATTGTACCCCGATGGCAACTCCTAGATCAAATAATCACTACTTGGATGACATCCATGTTCCTTTCTGTGCTGGTGGATGACAAAACCCTGTTTCTTTAGATCTTAGTGAATAATGGAAGTCCATAGAAAGCATTCTGTACAAACGAAAGTCAAACAAACATCACCTGACGGACTGTCAAAGAACATAAATACCCTCTTCTCTCCTGTCGTTATTCCTCTCCTCTTCATACTCTCATAATCCTCTCCCTACGCTTCCAACGCAGCTTTATCAAGCAACTGCTCAACAATCTACTCCCACTTTCCAACAACCACAACCATCTCTGTCCACCATGCCTAACCAAATGACCAAAGGAGATGCGTCTCGCATCCAGTCCTCCCAGGTGAGTCTTCTCCTTCCCTTCTTTTCTTAAATATATTCTCTAACATTCTCGTCTTTCTAAACAGGCCCAGTATGGATACAACACAGGCACTGGTTCCTTTTCGGCGAGAGCCCAGTCCGCTGGAGACCGCAACGCGAACACTTCGTCCAACTCCCAGTCCAACAATGGTCAGCAGTCGAACACCGGCAAGTAAACGTCGGCTTGCGATACAGCTTACAGTTACGACTTGATGCGATACGGTCTTGACTGTCTGGAACATGGATATGGTGATTTGGGATACGCCATGCTTTTCGGTTTCTTGTCAGTTCAAAAAATATCTTAGCTTGTCAGTTACTTGGGTGGTGCCCTTTAATTTCTACTCCAAATGCTTCACTGAACTAGTTTGGTCTAGAATAAACAATTACCTGATACGTTTTTCTAGCCCGTAGTCCTGTAATACCTGAGCCCTATTCTTAGCGTGGGATATCTTTGTTTCGTAGCTGCATAGCTGCATGCAGATGCGGTGTGTACCGAGTTGCTTCACCTCAAACTCCCAAATAAGTCGACTAGCTGATTACGGATTATCTTCTGAGAAGTACTTCTACTAACTACAGGTATAAAATATATTGCACCAGCCACGATCTATCAGTCACGGTCTATCAGCCACGATCAAACCACGTCCCGGGTCGATGGGAATCTTGGCAACCCGTATCCAGCCACATGACTTGACCGGAGCAGTGGGTCAGACAATCCGACACATCCAAAGAGATCTTCCCAACTAGTATCCCACGCCAAAAAGCCAATTCAAGGACCCAGATATGGAGCGGGCCGGATTTCGCAGGTATTTAAAGGAGCTGCAGATCCTGTTTGCCAACTAAGTTTTTAAATTTCACTTGGTATCCTTTTTTGCGGAGTATTTCGATATGAGTCGGTTAATTGATAATGAGCCGAATACGCAGGTGAAGCCCATGCGGGTGTTGTGTATGGGTATGGCGCGGACGGGGACAAATTGTAGCAACACCTGTCACTTTATTTGAAAGACGAGGATGCTAACGATATCAGCAATAACCATCGCCCTCCGCAAACTTGGCCTAAACCCCTATCACGGCTCGGAATGCTTCAAAAACCCACCCCGCGACTTCAACCTCTGGATCGAAGCCCTACAATGCAACTTCTTCAACCCCGGTGACAAAAAGCCCTATGCCCGCGAAGAATTTGACCGCCTCCTCGGCCCCTACGACGCCTGTCTAGATATCCCAGCATGTATGTTCTGGGCGGATCTACACCGTGCATACCCGGATGCGAAAATCATCCTGACGAAACGCGACGTGGACTCGTGGGTGAAATCGGCCAACAAGACTGTTTTCAATTTCGTGCAGATGCCGTTTTTCAGGTTCTGGCAGTATGTCGATTCGACGTGTATCGGGCCGCTGTATCAGATGTCAGATCTTGTGTGGAGGATTTTCTGTAACGGGGATTTTCGCGAGGAGGTCACGAAGCAGAAGTATTTAGAGCATTATGAGAAGATTCGGGCTGCTATTCCGAAGGAGCAGTTGCTGGAGTTTGAGATTGGGAAAGATGGGTGGGAGGAATTGTGTGGGTTTTTAGGAGAGGAGGTGCCAGATGAGCCGTGGCCGAAAGCGTATCCGACAGCGGAGTTCCAGGAGCATATTGATATTGCGCGGAGGGAGGCTTGGTGGACCATTGCAAGGTGGCTGGGGATGGGGGTCGTAGGTGCAGTGGGGACGTTGGGCTGGTTGTATTATCAGGGTTAGCCGTGATTGGGTATACTACCCTACAGCTAAAATGATATGTATCTATAATATAGGAGTTCGAGCGGAATGCTGCAAAATCGTGGCATCATAAGCTACTTTATCAACTCTCCAGTTTCTAACATCGCTGTGTTCTCTGCATAATATGCACGCCGTATTGATTAATAATCTGCACAAATCTAAGTACAATGACGTCATTCGACAGATACAGCAGACAGGAAAGAAAGAGCAAGTTCCCATTAATCTATGTATCTCCCGTACCTTGGGGTGAAATTTGGCAATGTTTAAAAACAAGAATATTATTTGCATATAGCCGATCTGTTTCTATAAATGTGCTAAACATGATATTCGGGCTGCGCGCCCACTTGACTGCGCTCAGAATGACGTCACCAGTAAGGCGATGATGTCGAAGTTCCTCAACTTCATTTTAACTGGGTATATATAGACTGGTAGAAGGCGAATGTAAACGACTAAGTTCAGATTATACCAGACACACAGAATCAACGAGTGATACTACAATATAAAATGGCTAGCACACAACCACCCTACTACACTTCCTCCTTCGGAAACCCCAACCAAGACCTTAACTCAACCACACCAACCGGAACATATATCGGCGAAACTGGCACTGGAGCTGCAGCCAACACCGCCGACCCGCGCACTGGGCCAGCACCGTCATCAGCAGGTCCGCACCGCACCGACACGGGCAACGCAGTAGATCCCCGCGTCGACAGCGACCTGAACAACCGCGGACAATACGCACCTGGCACAACAACCTCGGGAACCGTCCATCCAGGCACAAACCAGGGCATCTCCAACCCGGAGAACACCAAGAATAGCGGACCGCATCGATCGTCGATTTTGAACAAGCTCGATCCCCGCGTTGACAGCCAGACGGGGAATACGACGACCAAATCCACGAATATGACCGGCTCCGGTGCTGGACGGACATCTACATATGCGGATACCACACCTGATGCTGCGGCCGGGAGCATTGCAGGTGGTGGCTCCTCAACGGGAGGTGCCGGTGGTGCCCCCGGGGTGAGGGACACGCGCTCGCATTATGACCCCAGCACCATGGGGTATAACCCTGCTACCGGGTCTGGGTATACGACTAGTGGCGCGGGGCATCAACCCAGCCATCCCGGGAGTGGCTACGACCCGAGCTCACAAGACTATCGGGCCGAGTATGCGTCCAGCACGACGAATAAGTCTGCTGGAGCAGGAGACAGCAAGGCGGGACGTGCAGGAGACGATTTCGGGAAGGGAATTCAGAATGCATATGCGGGCGTTCATGTGAGTTATTCTCCGGCTACATGTATGGGGTACATAGTACATTTGCTAACGGATGCAGGGAGCCGGAGAGAGTCTGCGTGGTGCTTTAAACGCCGCGGTTGACCGGACATTCGGCAGTACGGAGGGTGTTGAGAAGAATCAGGGCATTGCCCAGAAGGGCGAAGATGAGATTCGGTCTGGACTGTCGCGGTGATTTACATGTATTGTATTTTATTGATGAGTTATGATTGCTACGGAGGATACCAATACAATTGGCATTTACCAGCCTTTAGGTATTTCTGTTGCATCCCCCGGCCAGGGCCTGGAATTGATGAGCCATTTGGCGCGCTTCTTGATTGCCTCAAGTGAGTAATTGATACGCCTGATTGATTACGTTCAAGGTTCATTGTGCTGAGCTATTCCGTTGCAATCCTGTGATATTTGGAGACGTTTGTAAGCGATCTTCATGCTTCTAGGAGAGCACTCCTACCACAACACCATTGGAGGCATCAATTTCTAATTTCGTCTCCAGACACAGTCAGTAATTTCATAGAATGTGAGCATTGGAAAGCTGCTTTCTTCAGTTCCCCAAAGACCTGCCGACAGAAAACATCCTGTTTGAGCAAATGGGACCAGGAAGATAGGGCTTCATGCTAAAAAGTGTCTTAACGTTGTTGTCATTGGATCCTATGACCTACTCGCTGATTTCCCTCAAGTCTGTTGTCCTGTCTCTCACTTGCTCGTTGGCTTCCGCAGACATCCTGGATGCTGGCTTGTGTACATTTATTAGCTCCAGCATGGTGACTGCATGTGGAAAAGCTTTCAAACACAGATGAGGAACAGAGGCATATGCACTCCCTAATAATGAAACCAAATCATTCATTATATTATAATAGGTTATACATAATATAAAACCCCTTAATATCAAGTTGTATTTAAATCATTACTCAGTGACCCAAACTCTTCAAGTACTCTTACCACACGCGGGTGTCCAGTAGACTTGGCAGTCTCCAGGGCGCATTCCCCTTTATCAAAGCGACCTGGCACCTGATGTAAACCCCTTTCTAAGAACACCCGAACAACATCGGCTTCTCCATATTCTGCCGCCCTCTCCATGAACCTGGAGTGAACAGGATGGACTTCAGCGCCCTGGTCCAGAAGTAGCGTCACAGTCCGGGCAAAGCCATGGCAGGTGGCCATGTAGCTTGGATGAAGGGATCCACCATTGATATCAGCCTCCTTTTGTAGGAGGAACAAGATTGTTTCATTGTGGCCATTGAAAACAGCAAGTCTCAATGGGGTACTGAACCCCAAGTTAATCTCATTCTCATACTGTCTGTTGATGTGGGCCCCTTTATCCAGCAGCAGAGGGATTGTCTCTGTTTTGCCAGAATGCTGCATATCGGAGTGAACTGAGCCTTGTTTGAAGACTGGCTCAATGGATAGCATGAAGAGGATTGGGGAAACTAGAGAGCCATGTGGGAGATTTGCTGGAATCTGGAATGTCTGACTAACTGGATACACAGCGAAAAGACCACTTCTTAAATTAACATACACCTAATTTACGCTATAGGTTATCGTATGACAGCTTTCTTTTTGTAATATTATAGATGGTGAGTGAGAAAGAGAGAGAGATGGTATGATAATCGTTGATGGGATAAGAACAGAGTAATAATTTGTATTTCTACTAAATTAATCCATTCTAACTATGTATATCTAAATCAGGCATCACCATATTTAACCTACATTTTGAGTAGTCTTAGCATTATCCGGGGTATGTGATGAACACCCGTTCGATGACTTCATCACTGGCTAGTCCTTCCGGAGTCTACGTAGAACTCTACGTTAGAACTCTTCCTTATTATTCTACTACACAGTAATAATGCAATGGCTCATGGTGTTAACACACTCTTGCTATGCCAATTTATGCTTGAATATGTTGAATTTCCCTCCTTCCGACGACTCCGGAGGCTGTGCAGTGGACCCAAACTTTTTTTTTTCTTTTTTCTATCGCCGCAGTCTCGGTCCGTCTGCTATAATATCCATGTTATTATGAAGAGAATATTTGAATAGAGACTGTTCTTATTCTTACCTCCTAACAGGAAAAAATACAAATAATAAATAATCCTAAAGAAAGAAAAGCGGTCTGCACAGGTAAGTCGTTCAGCCTCAATTTTGGGTGTTAACATCATCGCCTTCCCAATGCTTCTTCTCTCCCAACTCCGGATATTCCTACGTATTCGTACTCTTATTCTTATTCTTACTCCTCTCCTCTCCCTCATGCTAACTACATTCTCAAGTTAGCCATTTTCATTCTTATACATATTTATATCGCGAATAATCCTGTCCCGGCCGTCCCTCTTTGAATTCCAACTACATGCGTTGACAACTGTATATACCGCTCGCATAGCAGCTTGCCACTCCTTCCTTTCTTTATTCCTTCTTCCCCCTCCACCATGCCAGTCCCTGCAGCAGACGACCGGGATCCCCTCCGCAATCACAACAAGCATCTCCCTGTCAATGGTGTCAAAACGCCTCGTCCCCGTCCATCTTCGCTTTCCCCCGCAGCAGCCACCAGCTCCGATAGCGATGAGCCTGCTCCTCAGGCCGCCGAAGATGAAGCCGGTGACGTGGTCGGTGTCAGTATGAGTCGTGTCCAGACTCGCATGAAGGCACGGAGTACACCCGCGGAGGAAAAGAACCGGATTATGGAGCGGGATGGGGGTTATTTTGCAGTGCCGGATTTGGTGCATTCAGATGGGTTGTATTTGTCGGATATTACTGCTGAGCCGGAACCGGTGGAGGAGAAGACGCCGAGTAGGGCGTCGACGACTGTTCCTGATCGGAGCCCGCAGCCACAGCAGCAGCAGTCGAGGCATAGGAAACAAGATTCTGAACCAGTACAGGCGGTGCAAAGTCACGGGCAAGGGAAAGAGGTGACATATTCGGATGATACTCGATTACCCAAGGATAATGGCGGTTCGCGGACGAGCTTTACTCGCTCGATTCTGGGCAATCTACCCAAACGTCCCCGGGCGCTGTCGGGCGATGCCATTGCGAATCTGAATTTTAGAAAGTTCTTGCCGGACCTGGGTTCTTTGACCCGTCGGTCGTCGCTCTCGTTTCGTTCCAATTCGTCCGCACAGAATACTCGCCCTCGCAGTCAGATAATGGCCAAGCCGCCTCCGTCGGCCAGTTTGGCCCCTGAGCAGCGGATAACGGATCCACCACCACCGGAGACAATCCTGTCGCAGAGGAGGAAATCTGAATCTAACATGAACGGAGGCGTGGACAGTGCAGGCGATGAACCGATTTCCGAGTTGCAGTCACTTGGGAATTCGACAGCTGCGAAGCATTCGTTTACTCGCCGGCCTAGTGCGGGTGGACCTGGGGCGCCGCCGCTGCTGAGGAGGACTTCCTCAGATCACTCGTTGTATTTGCGAGCTTCGTCGACGGTCTCGTCTCTCGATCATCGTCCACAGTTTGAACATATACACTCGCAGGTCAACAGTCGGTTCAAGGCTATCAAGGATAGTCTGCAGGACTCGAGTAGTCGGCTGCTCAGCATGCCGTCGTTCAACCTGCATGATATCCGGGCTGACTGGGGGTATAAGCCATTTTTCCAAGATGTCTCCCAACGCAGGGGTCAGGAGTACTCTGCGGAGGGCGATCCGTCTTTATCTGCGCAAGAAGAACACGCTCGCCAGCAGCGTGCCAATACTCAGTTTAATACGTACCCCGCGCTAACCGAGGCCATGGAGGAATTGACTGGCGATGTTGTCGTCATGGGCGGCTATCGAGGTTCGATTCTGCGGTCTGCCAAACCGCCGCATCGCCAGTTATGGGTACCGATGAAGGTCGGTTTGAATCTGCGCAAGGTGGACCTCGAGGTTGGGTTCAACCCAGAGGATGAAGAGACGATGGAGGAACGTGTTATACCCTCCGGTATTCTCTCGCATGTTGGCCCGGTAGACATCTGCCGCCGGTTGATTAAGCGACTGCAAAAGTGCGACAATGCCCTCAAAGGTGACCTTCGAGTCCAGGACTTTGGATACGACTGGCGTCTAAGTCCACACCTACTCTCGCAACGACTGATCAAACATCTCGAAAACCTTCCGTGCAATTCACCAGACGTTCCGAGAGAAAAGCGCGGGGCCTACGTCATAGCGCACAGTCTTGGAGGCCTAATCGCCCGGCATGCCGTGAACCAGCGGCCCGAGCTATTTGCGGGGGTTGTCTATGCGGGCGTTCCGCAGCACTGCGTCAATATTCTTGGCCCGCTGCGCAACGGCGATGAGGTCTTATTGAGTTCGCGCGTGCTTACGGCACAGGTCAACTTTAGTTTCCGGACCAGCTTTGCACTGCTTCCTGAGGATGGGCATTGCTTTTTTAATAAACAAACTAAGGAGGAATATCCCGTGGACTTTTTCTCGCCTCAGGCTTGGGATGAGTATCGTCTGTCGCCGTGTGTCAATTTCGCTCTTCCGCCTACGGGCAGGAACTTGATGGATAACCTGCCAATACTGGCAAAGCGGCTCAGCATGCGTAACGGCAGCTTCCCAGAGGAGTCGGACTCCGCGCAGGAGTACCAATCAGACATGTCATCATCAACAGACATGCTCCAGCAACAACCATCCCAACCCCAGCAACCTCAACCTCAAGCCGAGTCCCAGCAACAACTCCAGTCCCAGTCCCAATCCCGATCCCAAACCTACGAAACCTGCCGGCCAGACCTCACCCCCAGCATCCACCACCACCCACCCCGCTACACCGCCGCAAACCCCCCACACGACCACCAAAACAAAGCTTCCGCCATGAAACCTGCCCTAGGCGGCTTGGTCGGTCCCACCGCGCACCCCCGCGGCGCCGCCCAGCCCAAAACCGCCGCGACAACGAACATCCCGCGTGGGCTAGCGATGAGTTACCTAGAGCGCACGCTGGCGGATGTTCGGCAGTTCAAAGAGGACCTTGTTTTCAAGGAATCCCATCAGATGAAGAATAGATACCCGCCGTTTTCTGTGATTTTCGGGAAATCGGTCCCCACGGTTTACGGCGCGAGAGTCGAGTCGAAGGAACAAATCAAGCGTCAAGATGCGTATGACGATCTCGCGTTCGCGGCGGGTGATGGCGTCTGTCTTGCCAGTGCGGCGATGCTACCGCCCGGATACCGTGTTATCAAGGACGGCATGGTGAAGACGGATCGCGGACACGTGGGATTGATGGGTGATCTGGAGGGAATGGGACAGTGTTTGTTAGCGCTTGTTCGGGGGCGGAAATTGGGCGTTGGATTAGGTGTGACGGATGAGTCTAAGGAGAATCCAGGAGAGCCCGTTGAGAGTACTTATATGCCTAATGGCTCGAGCCCTACTCCGGGGCCTAAGACTGGGGGTGAAGGTGAGGCTGAGGCTGAAAATAAAACAACAGAAGGACCTGCTACGGCAGATCATGTCCATGCTATACCTGTTTAATGATCGTGTTACTATATACTAATGATACCCCATTCGCTTGACTTTGACTTTGGCCTGTTTTATGGTTTATTATTAGCGTCATTTTGGATATCTGTTTGATATGCATCAGTGTTCTATACAAGTAGAACATATTATCCATGCTGTACAATGAATTATATTGAACCATAATATATTGATCTATAGCATAACATAATGACACTAACCAACCATAACCATAACCATTCCTATGTATTATACGCAACCAAAAAGAAAAAGCCCTGAAAACGAGCTCAACCCGTCCGCGAATTGGCAATGTTCAAGACCAAAATATCCGACGCCCCAACCTTACTCAACTCATCCATAACAGTCGCAATGTTCTTCTTCTCCACCATCGAGCTAACAGCAACCCAGCCCTCCTCTTCAAGAGCGGTGATGGTAGGCGCGCGCTTGCCGGGGGTGATGTTCGATGCAGTCGCCAGCTCAGCACGGGGAATGTTGTACTGGCACAGGACGTATTTCTGAGCTGTGATAACACCACGCACACGCGAGGTGAGGAGGTCCACGATGGGGTTGGTAGTGTTTTTGGATTTGACGAGGACGGCAGTGCTGGTGACGACGGTGTCGATGGCTTTGAGGCCGGCGGCTTTCATGGTTTCGCCAGATTCTGCGTTCGTTAGCCCCGTCAAGTTCCATGAGACAGGTGCCAGAGGACTTACCAACGAGGTCAACAATGCCATCGGCAACACCCAGCGCACAAGCGGCCTCGACACTTCCCCCAACATACTTGATATTGGTCTTTTTACTAGCATTACACTCACCCTCAAGCCCCGCAAAGAACTGCCCCGCAAGCGCCGTGAAACTAGTCACCACATTCCTCCCAATCAAATCCTTGGCACTCTCGAAACCCCCCTTCACCGGCACCTGCACCTGCAACTTGCACCCCCCGAAACCAAGATCCATGATCTCCTCGACGCTCGAGGCTTGTCCGTGGGGGAGTTGAGCATCGTGCTCAGCGACCTGGTCGCGGCCTGTGATTCCGATGTCGACGCGGCCTTCACCGACGAAGGTGGGGATGTCGGCAGCAGGGAGGAAGATAAGGGCGATGGGGAGGTTCTTGACGAGGGCTATGTCGAGACGGGTTTCGCGGCGGAATTGTACGTCACAGCCGGCGAGGAGGTCGAGGGTTGCTTGTTGGAGGCGGCCCTCTTTTTTGTTGTTAGCTGGGTTCTTGTCTTTATGGTCATATGCACAGGTGGGACTTGCTCTTGGGGACGGCGAAGAGGAGTCTTCCTTCGAGGCTGGAATGCTATCAGTATCCTATATCCAAGCTCAATTGAACCATTGACTCACTGGTTAACAAGATCCATGATGATCAACGCGGGGCAGGAGGGGTATCAAAGTGTACTGGACAACCGCAATGAAACGGATATATAATAATTAGATAGCCGACACGATATCAGGCAATATCTTCAAGAATTGACTCTATCCAAGAATAAACCAGAAGAAGTCTGTCAAGGGCGGAAGATGTTGCAGTCGGAGAGCGGCGTCGGAGTAGATGTTCGGAGGGGCAATACTACTACTATATAGGACACCCACGCTATCAAAGGAACAATGTCAATTGGCTAACCTGCTACAATAATTGACAACTAGCAATAAGCTAATAACCTATCTGTAATTTGTACACATCTGAACCTGAAGAATGACTCAAAGTTTTTGCCTTATAGCCTGAAAAACAAGGTATCAATAGCCCTGAACCCTCGCGTAACGTGACGGCGACTAAACCCAAAACAGAAGGCACACAAATCCACACACCTCCGATTCCGAGCTCTACTCTACTTTGTTCCTTTTCGCCTTGTCAAGCGCTATCTTCACACCTCTTACGCCATCACCCTCGTTGTCGTCGAGCCCAATCCTACAGTCAAGATGGACGCCGCCAACAAGCAGCCCACTAAGCTCGTCAAGGTCACTCGTGTCCTCGGCCGTACCGGTACGCTATAATTTCTGGAATTTTGAATGGAGGAAGAAAGCAGAAGGACTAACGAGGTCAGGTTCCCGTGGTGGTGTCACCCAGGTCCGCGTTGAGTTCATGGACGACACCTCGCGTTCTATCATCCGTAACGTCAAGGGCCCAGGTATGCGATGCGATTGATTTGAGATTTGAGATTTTCGTTGGTTCCCATTCGCGATGGCATCGATTTTTCCACTACGAAACCACGACAACCGTTGAGATATCACGAATGCGAACTGAAATGAGCGAAGGAATTGGTATGGAATGAGGCAACAAAATCGGAGAAATTCGGAAATGTTTCACTATTCAACGACACAACCGTAAAATAACTCGACCAGACAACGATCTACGAAACGAACACTGCCAGCGCGAACCGGGAACCAATACGGAAAGCAAATAGAAAGGAACACAAGCTAACCAAAATTTCCGCAACAGTCAAGGTCGACGACATCCTCTGCCTGCTCGAATCCGAGAGAGAGGCCCGCCGTCTCCGCTAAACACCCTTCCTCCTCACTTCGATTTCCTCTTTTTTCTCTTGCACCCCGAATATCCTTGGTTCCGCTCTTGCTTGCGATGGAGACGAGATGAGATGAGATGATAATTCTGGGAGGTCGGGAAGGCGAAAATGTCATAGCCATAGCGTGTGCTATCTTACGGATGGGCTTCTGATGCGACGAATAAAAATTTTTCTCAAAAAGCGGTTCTCTTGTTTCCAATATCGGCTCTTTAGTACCTATATGGTAAGAGAAAAGGAATGGGAATTTGTGGGCTATTCAGTGGGAAAAGGAATGAAAAGAATGGGTACGATTTGAGAAGTTGATTTACGTCCACGCATTTCCTCTACACGCACTCGCCAACTTGAAAGGAGGTTGGGTGTCACAATTCTCGAACATTTTGGTAATGGAACGACAATCGATCTATGATCGACCAGATCTCGGTTCATATTTCCCATCTACGTCCCATTGCGCCTAAGACATTGAAATCGGGTGTTCTCAATATGGTACATCCCTCAACGCTACTCGCTCTGGTTCGAATAGTCGTAGTATTGAACTCTGTAAAGATATATCCATATGCATAATATACAGTAAACCCCAACCGCTAAACAACGGACAACAAACAAATCATATCACTACAACTGCTCTGCACTGCCAACCAACCTCTCAATCAACCCATCCTTCCCATCCTCCGCCAACACCTCCCCAACAGCACTCACCAAACCCCTCAACCTCTTCCTCCTAATATTCTCCTCCAACTCCGCGCTCTTCCTCTTCGCCAGATCCAGTAGTGGAGCAGGGAGGTTCGCTAAACGTGCCACATTCAACCCGTAACTCCGATGCGCAACACCCTCGCCTACTTCGTAGAGAAAAGTGATTTCCTCTTCTTCTTCTGTGTTCGTCCTGGACTCCGTGAAGCGCATGTGCACGTTACGGAGTTCATGGTCGCGGAAGGAATGCACCATGTTCGATAGATGTTGGTAATGCGTGATGAACAATGTCAAACTGCGAAGAGAGCGGACCATGTAATCCAGCACAGCCTGTGCAATGGCAACACCATCATGTGTGGACGTACCCCGACCCAACTCGTCGAGGATAACTAGTGACCGCGGGGTCGCTTGTTTGAGGATATCTGCTGTTTCGGATAACTCGACCATGAATGTTGACTCACCGGCGAGCAAGTTATCGAACGCGCCCATGCGCGTGTATACGGCGTCGAGCATGCCCAGTTTTGCGGACTGTGCGGGGACATACGAGCCTATCTGGCCCATGATGGCGATCAGTGCGATTTGGCGGACATAGCTTGATTTTCCGCCCATGTTTGGTCCTGTAACTAGTAGAGCGCGAGTTTGGTCGGAGGCCAAGTCGATGTCGTTGGGGACGTAGGTGTCAAGGAGGAGTTGTTCGACCATGGGGTGACGGCCTTTTTCGACGCAGATGCATGTTTCGTCTGTGTATTCGGGCTTCGAGTAGCCTGGTTGGTTGGCGATGGTGGCGAGGGAGATGAGGCAGTCTAGTGTTGCGAGGGATTGAACGCTGTCGCGGAAGGGTTGGTAGTGGGTGGATATCTCTGCAAGGAGGGAAATATATGCTTTGTCGCAGGCTGCTGCTAGTGCTTCTTTGTGCTGGTCTCGTTGGCGGAGGAGTTGGATTACTTCGGGGGTATGAAAGCGTGAGACCTTTTTAGTGCCGCTGACTTTGACCCATGAGGCGGGAACTTTTTTGATCGTTGAGGAGCTGTTCTCGACTTCGATGAGATATTCGATTCCAGCTACGGCGGCGTAGTCGACCTTCTTGCTTATCATTTCACCAGCAACGGCACGGTGCTCTGCTAGATCGTGCTCGACGCTGGCTATGCCTAGTTTCTCTTCGCTTATTTCTTCTGTTTCTTCGGACTCGCGGAAGAATGCATATTTGTCGTCGCTCTTTGCAGCGTGCATGTTGATCTTATTCAAGAAGAATACCACATCTTCCAGAATAGTTGGTAACGATGCCAGAGCTTCGCGGACAACAGAAGATTTGAATCCAGTATCAGCCGGGGACTTGATATCAGAAAACTCCTGCGCAATCATCTGCATCGTCTGCAGAACGGTAAGGAGTTCCGGTCGAGTGCACTATCATCGCCTGTTAACAAGATTTATCGATGGTCTAAGGGAGAAAGAAGCTTGCCTTCCCATAATAAATCCGAATCAAACTCCTCTCAAGATCACTCCTAATCTTCCCCAACAACACCTTAATCCTCTCCACCAATGCCGTCCTCTCTGAACTCATCAACTCTTCCACAGAATTAATCCTCTCTTCAAGCCTCTCCTTATCCAACAAGGGCCGACCAACCCACTTCCGCAGCATCCTCTGTCCGAACCGCGTATGCGTGCGATCCAGCGTCCAGAATAAACTCCCTTTCGCAGAATGATCAGTCTGGTTCTGGTAAATCTCCAGACTGACTAGTGTGTTTCCGTTGAGAAGCATATGCGAGCGCGCAGAGAAATGTTGGAAGTATTTTGTTAATTCGAAGACGTGTTCGAGGCCGTAGTCGGTCATGTGTGAGATCATTGCAGACAAACAGATGGTGACTTGTTCGGGGAGACTGAGGACTTTCTGGAGGAGGTTGCTTGCTTGGGCATCGTCTGCGGCGTTGCTAGACTTCATTTTCTCGGCGTAGAAGCTTGAGACGTGGCTGTGGGATTCTGCGGCTGCAGTTTTCTTCTTCTCGGTCCTCTCGACGCGGACCTTGTCGCCGAAGACGTTTAACTTGCTGCCAGAGAGATGTTGAACCAGTTTCTCGGTGGCTTTGGATAATTCACCCACTATGAGAAGCTCACACGGAGCAATATGAAGTAACCTCGTCTCGATCTCGCTCCGCATAAAGCCGTCCTCAAAGTCATCGTAAATCACATCCCCCGTAGCCGGCTGGACAGCTACAATCCCCACGTGCACCTTTTCATCATTTCCCCAGCCCTTTGCATTTGTCTCTATGATGCACAGCAGGTATCCGGTTGCCGGAGACCCCTCCGAAGCAGCAGGAGCAGGACCTTCCATTCCCTCCACATCATCGATATATGTACCCTTAGTATAGAGGTTAGTGAGCTTGCGGCCAAACGGTGCATTGCGGTTGTCGCCGGCAGCTTTCAGCGCAGCTGTTTCGACTTGTCGAACCACACCAACTTTGTATCCGGCTGTGATAAGACGCTTCACGTGTACGTGCAGTCGATGGACGGGGATACTCGCGGATGCAAAACGGTCAATATGCGCTTCGGACGAATCTGCTCAGCAAAAACCACGATTAGCCATCTCCCACCACAAGCAGTAATATAGGGTCAGAGGGAACATACGCTCATCATATCTCATCTTCCCCGGAATACAAACAATACTCAACTCCCTCGCCGCAACCCGCGCATCCTCCCCGAAGAATCGAAATTTATACCCAACCTCCACTACCAATATCGTATCCATATGTTTCTTCTTTATATCAATAACCTGCTTCTCCAACGGCGTCAGTTTACTCCCGCCCTTTTTCGTAGCCTTCCCTTTGGGTGCCGGTTTCGCTGGTTCTTCATCGTCTTCAGCTTCGACGGCTTCTTCGGTGCCTCCGGTGGTGTCTTTGGCTGGATCGCTTCCGATGCCTATCAAGCAATCTGCTCCGCCGAGTCTTTTGACGAATTTCTGGTGTAGTTTTTCCTTCTCTTTCTGGCGTCTTTTAGCCTCCAGATCGTCGGCGTCGGCGTCTTGCGTCTTCTCCGCAGCCTCCCCAGCAGGCGAACTCGTAAACTTCGATAAATCTGTCTTTTGACTCACATCAGCCACCGGATCCTGTTCCTCTGCGGTTGACGCTTTCCGGCCAGAGTCCTGGCTCCCATTAACCCTTGCCCGCTTCGGTGCCGGCGCCACTACTTCCTCGTCCTCATCTTCATCCTCATCCTCATCCTCCTTCTCTTTAACCACTCGATCCTTATTCTCCTTATCCCCTTGCGCATTCTCCCGCTCTTTCGGCTTCGGTTGCGGTTGGCTACCCACGCCACTCGGCGATTGTTGCGACGAAGACGGCTTTTTCCCGAAGAAGCTAGCGATCGTGGGCTGCTTCCGCTTCCGATCTGGTGGCGATGACGCGGGTCCTTGCGATGGGGGTTGTGGCATTTTCGTATTTATTGTATAGAGCGATTGGCGGGTTTGGTTGGTTGCGGTGATTAAGCAATGGGCATTGCAAGGGAGATGCGGGATGGTTTGATCCCTTGCGAGGTGGCTTGTATGGGTTTAGTCTAGTAGTAAGCGGTAAAGAGCCGTTCAACGGTCAAATGAACGGTTTCTTTGAATTCAACAAATGTACTCTGTACAGATGCTCTGACAGGAACCGCAGAGCTTGACGCGTCAACGCGCTGAATTGTCGCGATGGCGATTTCGCTTATCTAATCAGCCCTATAAATTAACTTAAGTAACGTAGGTGCATAGCGAACGACGCAGCATAGCGAACGACGCACCTAACCACCACCATGATATTGTTCACGACCGTAATTTGCCACAACACAGATAACCAATTAAGTCTAGTCAGAATTATATCCATCAAATACCTCTTCATCTTCTTGACAGGTGCGTGCATTATGTCCAGGCTTGCCACAGCTACCACAACATCGTTTTCTTGGTTTCACACGCTTCAGACTATCATCCTTCATATGGATTTCCTCAGCTAGCTGGCGATCTATATCTCCTTGATCCAGTATACCTTTGCCAGTCTGCAGACTTAGTATTCCTCCATGCTGTATATGTGTTGTCTTTCCCTTCCGGCGCTTGCTTAATGTACGATTCGCATCTTCAAGTGTTGTAACTCGGTCCTTGAGGAGAGCCACTGAGTGCATAACTGACTTTACACTCTTCGCAATATGGTCTATAGCACCATAAATTGAGGTTGGTGAACTATTTTGGTGATTGGCAATTCTGGATTTAATATACTCAGATTGCGAAGTGGCCTCGACTGGGTTTTGTGGTGTCCTAGAAATCCAAAGGTCCATAATCGCAGGAGGTGGTCCAGTAGGTGTTGGTGTGCGTAACTTGACATCTAGCTTAGAAATCGCAGTATCTGGGTTATATGGGACTAAACCTGACTGTATATTTCTTTCACTAAACGAGGCAAAGAATGCGGCCTTAAATGCCTCAAAGAACTCAATCTTAGTGATATGGGTGATATGCCCCCGAATCAAGTTCTCAGTCTCCTTGCTATACGCACGCTTTAGTGGACTGAAACATCCAATATCAAGTGGTTGGAGCAAATGAGATGAATGAGCAGGCATGCAAAGAGTCACAATATTATTCTCTTTGCAGTAGTGCTCGAAACCAGCTGAGTGGTGGCTCTCATGCCCATCTAGCACCAATAGACGTTTTGCACCTGTTGTACGATGTCGACTATATTTGTCAAAGTGTTTTATCCATTCCAGGCCAAGCTCATTTGTAGTCCATCCATTGTCACTGACTCCAATGACCCAATTAGATGGCAGGGAGCTATCACGATACCAAGTTGAGAGATGGCATTGCCCAGCAACAATGATAAAAGGTGGTATCATTGAGCCTCGAGAATTCACCCCCTGGATGACTGTTGCCCATTCACGATTGCCAGGCTGCATCATCTTTGCTTTTCCACGACCATCTGAGGTTGTTATACCCATTGCAGACGAGATTACTCCCATCATAAAACCAGTCTCATCAAAGTTCCAGATATCTGACTCCAGTATGCCGTACTTGGCCACCATATTTTGAATGAGCCGAAACCAATCCATAATTATAGCTGGATCTTCGCACTTGGCTCTCTGGTAGTCGTACTTACGCGTAAAACGCATCTGGAGCTGTGGTTGTTGCTTAACAAAGTTGGAAGCCCAGTGTGGTCCAACACATGGCACGTCGCGTTCAGTAAGCAGTCAGTTGGCCATATCTTCAACACCATGAAGCCGGGGAGGGAATGCTCGTGAATCCAAGTCTATTATCTCTTGAATAAGCACTGATTCTTCTAAGTCGGTTAATTTTCGCGAATTGGCTGGCAAAGCGCGTCGAGATTGTCGGCCTTTGAGTCGTGCATATAAGGTTGCTTCACTGACATTGCAGATCTTGGCAATAGATTGTACACTTTGTTGATTACCATTTTTGAATGTCTGGAGGGCAAAGAATAATCGGTTTTCTCTGCTAGTAGATTCCATGGTTGTACGTGGAGAAATTATACAAAGAACTTCGGTGTGGTGACTTAAGTTGGATTGTGCGGCGTTCGCTATGCTGCGTCGTTCGCTATGCACCTACGTTAGTTGGAGTATGTACTAGCTGGTACGTTGTTCTATAAACACAGAACTGTGATTTTGGATTGGTAAACATGACTGGACTTTTTACTACAGATATCTCATATTATACCTTGTATAGTATATGAGATCACTCGTTCATGCATCAATCGTACGTATATATATATATATTCTGATAGGTACGGAGTAGTGCTTGAACCTCCATAGAAGAAAAACAAAACTAACTGGTTAGGTAAAGAGATCAATTGATAGTAACTAATGGATCCTGCATTCGTATTGTCAATATGCTAATTATAATGAAGCTGCTAAAACAAAATGGGTAATCTCAATGCTCTCTCCGATGTGGGTATAATAAAACATGCTAATGCTATATGCTCAAGTTCAATGCCGTTGATCAGTCAAAAAAGTCCAAATACAAATGCCTTAGCTCCTGCGCCATTGTTTTCACGTTGCGAATGATACAAGAAGTATAGCGGAATAGTCGTGGGGGTGCATAGTAAGCAAGGATCGCCTATGATGAAGGGCATCCGTTCAAACAGAATTGTTCAAACTCTTCTTCCTCCATGTCAGAGATAGTTGCGTTGGGTGAGAGATCACGAAACACAGACGGTTCCTTGTAGTTGCTAGACTGGGTACCCATGGGATATATATGATCTTCATCGGGCATTTTCGGCAATGAGGCCGCCAATAGAGTTGGCATCTGGTCGTGATCGTCAAACAGACCGAGTCCGACCCGTGGCTCATCACCAAAGAAATACTGCGGCGGAAACGCAGCGTCACTAGTATAGTGCTGGTTTGAGTTGGGGGAATCCCAATCAAAAGGACTGTCAAGACTCTCAGACACATCCAAAAGTGGCTCGATGTCCCCCTTGCCTGTAGAAGTGCTACCGGGTCCTTGCATGAGGTTCGTACCATGAGCGCTAGAAGTTGATTGAAGGGAATCCGAGAGTAGATCATTCCCACGAGAGACGACGGAAATCTCAGGCCCCGGTTCAGGCTGATCAGGTTCCTGGGCACTCATATCGTGATTGCTCGGTTCATCCAGGAAAACCGAAAACCCCCTGCGAGGCTTCGGTCCCTGCTTTCTGAGGGTCAATTCGAAATCGTCATCATCATCGACCCTGCGCGATGGGCGATGGTCGACACCACGAAACATGAGAAACCGAGGGGCGCTGGGTTTGAGAACACGAGTACTTCGTCGAGGCTGTACTCGGGCTTTCTTGCTAGAGCCATTCTCGGTAGACTTCTTAGACCGTTTTCTAGTCTGGACACGGTGGGTGTTGGGATCAGTCTCAGAAAGGACCCGCTTTGGGCGAGGAACACGTTTGGGAATCGGAGTCTCCCCAGGGAGAGGGCTGCCGTCATCCACATCTCCTGATATCACACGTTGCTTCCGCAGTATACCTGTGGGAGAGAAGACAAGCTCCGTCGGTTGCACTCCCATCGAGGTTTTTTCCATCCTCCTCAAAACGCTCTCGTCTTTCTTCTGGTTTCGCTTGCGTTTCATCGGCTCTGTGGCAGAGTCGAAGATATCCATCCCGGGCCATAAAACACCCTTCAACCTCGTGATCTCATCTGCCCTCTCCCTTTCTGCCTCGGTGGTACGCGGAGAATCGAAACAATCGTCGTCTTCAACGAAAGGGTCATAGCTAACAGATCGACGCAATAGAGAAAAGCTGGTGTCCATGCTACCGTGAAATCTCATATCCCAAGCTGGTATGCTTTGCAAGAACACCCCGCTGTCGTCATCGGGTTCAGACTCGCATTCCTGTTTCCACGGCGTGGGGATAGGTCTTGGGGGCGTCACCGGTAACGGATGGGCATGGGAAACATGATTCAGAGGCGTAGCCGGCCGGGTGTAGCCTGCATAGAGCATATTATCCTCGTTGGTAGCAGTATTGCTTGTGGTCATAAACGGGTTCGACAGACGAGGGTCAAGTACGGTAGGCAATGGCGGATGAGCAGGGGAATCCGGGTTCTTCGGGCTAGCTGCAGCTTGGGACTTGGCCTTTTTCTTAACTGGATGACTTTTGCCATTCTTCCCTTGTGCCTTCTTCTTGCGGGCTTCCTTCAAGGCCATCCGATCAGAGAGTAACTTGGGGAGGTTATTTTCTTTGTACCACAAGTCATAGTCGTCCAACAATTCCGCGGCCTGCTGTTCCTGTTGACTGCGTATCTGGAGCTTGAAGTAATTAGACAAGTGGGCCTTCGAGGAGACGTGAGTCAATAAGTGGGAGACATCGCTGAAGGAGGGACGTTTGGGACAGATATTGCACAAAAGTGCATCTGCGTCCATGATGACCAGACAAAACAAAAAGTGAAGAGAAGGGCAAACGACTAGGGAAGCAGCCGATAAGAAATGCTGACTCCTGCTTCCGCATGCAAGAAACAAGCACAAAAAGGACGACGACAAAACACCAAGATAAGAAAGACTCAACCCGGAGTTCCAAATAACACCGGGAGATGAAGAAGTGACGAAGAGTGATTGAGGGGGGAGAGAAGCGAGAAAGAGAGAGGATGTCCAGTACTGTCGAGGAAGGAAGGAGAAGGGAAACGGGAGAGGTTGATGGCAGAAGATGGGAAGGTGCAGCAGGACCGCCCAAACGGGAAGGTGGTCACGTTTACGGAGAACACCGAGATGGGACGAAAAAGCTAGATGTACACACCAGCAATTGAATTAAGAACAATATCAGTAGATGTGTCGATTATCATTGAATCTGTAACTATCTATCAATTCTTACAGGAATGTGCCATTGGATCTTAACAGCCGACTGCGAGGCCATTGTGGAGGGGTATGAAGCGGAATAAGTAACAATGGCGTTCTTTCTTCTCCTGCCTTGTATCCCATACTCCATTGAAAAGAAGAACGGGTTATTAGATTGGCGGAGGTTGGTGGCCTACGAACTGCAAAAAAAAAAAAAAGAACAGGGTTCTGAAATGACGATGATGGCTACTTCGCCAAGCATTTTGATGTTACTGCTTTAGGCATACAACTAATTTCCGTTAGTTCTATTTCAGGGGCACATGATCTGTTAGTGGACACTCACTAGACTGGATCTACTTCCTTGGTACCCTCGAACTTCAGTAAGCTCAAGCCTGCAACCCCGAAGCATGTATGGAAGACGTCGACCATGTCACCAGGTCGATCAGCAAATCCTCCGGCCTCCGGGTCCTGCGAGGTGTCAGTAGATGGATCGCCCCAGAAGCACTACGGCTAAACACACCTGGCACCGTAGGATGAATGCAGCGAGCTTCTTTCCATCGACCCAATGAAGTCGACCAATCATGGCCAAGCTGGACATAACCCACCAGCTGTAACAGGAGTCTTCTAATTTCTCCGGACGTCCATTGAGCCCGCCGTTCTCCAGCTGTCTTTCACTAAGCCAGCCGGCCAGACGGTCTTTGTCAATGGCACCCAGTTCTCCTGCAATCGCCAAAGCCCCTACACAGGTGAATACCTGGCCTGCATGCGACTCGGCTCCAGGACGGATACCATATGCCCCATCTAGATTCTGACATCCATGGATGTAGGCAACTGCCTTGGGAACATCGACCATATGAAGGAGTCCTAAGAGAGACAGGGCATTGAAAGCACCGTACAAGAAACGTGTGTCTAGCTCTCCCCATTCGTCTCCCGCGAAGCATCCTGTCTTCTTGTCCTGTAATCCTGCAATGACTGTGACGGTTTAGCAAACGGTGACTGGTGAGAATACGATAGTATGAAGAAAAGATCATATCGTACAAGAAGCAACTTTTTGCTTGCCCCCAAGCCCGCGCTTGTCCAGTTCGTCCACTGCGTCGAGCATGACGAGGACCTGAACGGCCGAAACCGTGTAGAGCATGTGCGCATCATGGCCGGGGGCAGCACCGAAGCCACCATTGTCCCGCAAGCACGAAAGGACAAAGTTGATCGAATCCTCACGAGGTAGAGCTTCGGGGTGGTCGAGAAGATGCAGAGCCGTTAAGCCCCAGTAGACGCCATTGAGTCGTAGATGCTCCGTGAGCCAATACTCCAACTCGTCTCTCCTCTATGCATCACCCGTCAACCGTGTTCTCCTCTTGACGAATGGCATATTAAGAATCACGCACAGTGTCAAGATTCTTTACATAGGCCACATGCTTGTCAGCATAGAGCTGCAGGTCCGATCGACTCCCAGCAGCAGCACGTCCGGGACCAGAGACTAGAGCCATGTTGGTATCCCAGTATAATCTTCAGCTTCACAGTTAGTGGCAAGAAGGCTGATCTTTGTATGATTTGGTTCGTCCAGCCACAGTGGTCGGGTAAGTATGGGGTCATATGAGGGGTAACCACAGAAAAAAAAAAACGAAACAAAAGTATTGCGACGACTAGCCACGCCAGCTGTCAGATCGTCAATCAATCAACCAAGACTTAACGAGCAAATCATGCCGTCACCCAGGCTGTGCCGCACTTTATGTGTCAGAGGCACGTGTGAGTAAGTGCTGTGTGTGTGAGGAGAAAAAAAGTTTTGCGGGAGTCGAGGTGATTTGACGACCGGAGCCCGGATCAAGAGAACGACCGACATCCGATAGCCGAGAACTCACGTGATGTGTTGCCACAGGAGGGACGAGCGTCGTCGGCGGGGCAAGTGTTTCAGAATATTCCCCCTGAACAGTTATGCAGTCATGCAGCTCACCAAAATAGTATGTACATACTCTGTATGGAGCACGCTGGTACGTACCAGAGTACGTACTGCGGAGTTCTACTCGCGTACAAGTACAGAGTACGCGGAAAAAGTACGTATGTACCTGTAATCGGGATTGATTCTCTGCCCATTTTTTGGTTCTACAGAGTATCAGTACTTTGTACTATACGGAGTACTATGTACAAAAATAAAGTGGCGATACCGATCAGGGGTCAAGTCAAATTCTGCACAAGTAGAGTCTCTTATGATATGCATAAATCATGCGCTACTGCGACGAGAGTTTACTCTTGACCACTTTCAGCAAAGCCCTCCCACGTGTCCTGCCATTGTTCGAGCGACAGTGTTGTTCTTATTGTCCGTCGAATCAGCATTTTCGAATGATTGTAGTCCCGAAGTGCAAATTTACTGCTATGCCGGATCAGGCAAGTAAATGACGGAATTCGCCAACGAGCGTTGAGCAGAATCCCCACTTGGCTTCTGTTCCTGATCCAGGGGTAGTTTCGATGGTGCACAAGCCCCTCGTTAATTGTACAGTATGGAGTACCTACGGAGCACGTAGGGTGAATTACTCAGTTATCCGCGGATGGCGACGTTGTTCTCGAGGGAGTACTCCATACTGATGATTATCTTTATCTGATTTTTCTTTCGTTGGAGTAAATACCTCGTAGGGCGGGAAATAATGAAATACACACGCCGTTGGATAGTTACCACAAGGGACCCATGGAACCGTGGATGCAATGTCTCTGGACGGGTTCAGGAACCAGCTGATCCAAGCGTTTTCCGCTCAATTCCTAGGCAACGAGGGTACTTTGTGTTACGACGGTATTTCCAAGATATTTTCACTCTGTATCTAATCTGTGATAGCATCTGAATAGTAGTATTCTGCAATTCCGAATGTACTCGGATTGTTACCAAATGCTCTCATACTGTGTACTATGACATACTCCGTACGGATGCCAATTATTTCACCCAAGAAAGACTAGTGGCGAGTATGTGCGAGAACTAGTGTCAGTCTGACCCCGTACTCCTCCTCACATTCTGATTGGTGGTCGAAAGTACATCATCCCGTCCATGGCTCCAGCTGCCATTCATATTCCATACGGGACTTTTATTGGCCAAATAGCACTCACCGCCTCCACTCTCCGATCTTTCGGTGTACTGTTCCTGGGCGCAAAACAATGGTCATACTGTTCGTCATAATAGAGTGTACCCTGGACAGTCACACTGGTAGTCAGAGTAGTCATAGTTAAGAGCATTAAGACATGGTTACCTTTGTTCTCTCCTGGTCTGACCAAACGAATCATTGGTGATCATAACCTAGCTTCTCAATATTTTAAGATTCAGTTAAGTCAGTTCAACAGGCACCATTACTTACAAAGTTCGGATCATTACATGGTTCTGCGAGCATAATTCCTACTAATAATACCCTACTATCCCCACTGGGGAGCACTCTCTTTCTTACTGTGATACTCAGAGTGCTCCATCTCCTGACAACTGTCCATCTTAACTCTTGTTTATCTTATTATTGCAAACGACATTACCCGATCGAATCCACGCGCGTCTCTCTCTTTCTTTTCTGTGACGAAAGTAGTTGGCTGGAGCGTGCCTCGTTCCACTCTTTACCTACGGATACACAGAGTAGAACCCCTCTTACGCTCTTACGCTCTCTCTTATTTGGTCTTTTTATTTACCCTTAACCGTCAATCTTTATCGCTACAAATTATCCTTTTTTTATTTGATTTTTTTTTGGGGTTACTCTATCAGTGTGTGTGCACTTGCACTATTCCATCCCATCTCTCCTTTCGATCTCCCCGACGTCTTCAACCTCCATCGCCAATTCTCCCCCCCAACCTCCCTCGTGCGCCTCGTCTGTGTTTCCCTCGGACTGTGTTTCCATCATCGCGACGATTGGCAACAAGGGAAAAAAAGCATCGCAATCCAACACGAAAATCCCATCGTTCTTGTCCCACTACGTCAATAATCGTACACCCCTCCCCCTCCCAGTAGCGACGTTCACCACGCGGACGAGAAAAAGCAACCAGGACATATCGAACGAATCTGATAGAAGGATTTGATAATAACATGAGTGCAGTCTGGTATGTTCTAATCTTCTGTCTAATTTCTTTTTTCTTTCACGTCTATCCTTTCATCGTGCGTGGGTGGCGAGCAGAGCTATAGTGGTCGTGCTGGTGCTGCGAATTTCCCATTGTTCGTTGAAACCACCACGGTGGAAACCTCCTCCCAGCAAGGGGATCTTCTTTTCTTCGCTGCAATGGAATCCATCAAGTGCCAGCTTTATATTTATAGCCCTCCATTGTTTCATTCAAAACCCCTACGTTGTTCTATCCTCCATTCGCGTCGCTCTCCTTGCGGTGCGCACCTTTTTGTTGCGTCTTCTTTCTCTTCTTTCGGCCTTCCACACCCACCTCCCTCCTGCCTGCGTACCAGCACGGTCCTTTGTCTCGAGCCATTTTCCCCCACTGCCAAAAAGCCATGTCGCTGATTTTAGATCCGATTCCATTAGAACTCTTTTGCATTGCGCCCCCCCCAACATCGCATCCTCCGTCCACCCCAAACCCAGCCGCCGACGACTTCACCAAACACAAAATCAGACACGGATACGCCCTTTGGGAAACGAAATAGGAATTGGAAAAGGCTGGTTTCCATCCAATTCTTTTTTTTGAACGTGGGAGGCAGAAAAAAACAAAGCATTCGTCATCTCGCGGGACTTGAGAGAAACTGGCAACTAGTCCGGTAAAAAACAAGAAAACAATATATGCCTCAGGGGCTTATACATAAGTGTAAGGCCCCATATATTTTGATTCATTTTGTTATGGATGGGTCAGACAGTACCTCTTAAACGACGAGAGGATCTGCCAATCCTCTCGTCATCCGGAGTACATGTCCCATTTCGTCTTTATCCTCCCCCCTTATTCTCTTTCTCTCTCTTTTTTTTTTTTTTTTTTTTTTTTTTTCTCTCTCAAATCGTTGGAATATGTCTCGCATGAACGGTTGGCTAACTCTTGCCATAAGAAAAGCGGCCGATCGTGTCCCTCTGAAGGCTTGGATCATTAATTCGGTGCCCTGATATATCACTTTCAATTCACTCGTCGCCGCAATCCCCCTTAACGCGCCGTGCTAGGCAACGTCTATCCACCACAGTCATTGCGAGACCCACGATCTTCCCGCTCTCTCACCAGTCAAAATGCCGTCGCGACACTCGGCCGTTCCTAATTTAGATCTAAGCTCTTTCTCCCTACAGACGAATTTGAAGATCTCGTCTCCACTGTCACCGGGTGGCCAAAGCTCCGAGGGGCCGAGTCCCCTGACACCCCGTTCCCCTAAATCTTCATCGAGCTCGCCATTCTTCAAGGGGACCACGATCCGTCCTGTCACCCAAGACTCTAATACCAAATCCACTAGTCCAACAATTCCGCGCTCCCCTAGCTCCTACACAGCCGAACCACCTGCCACGCCAGGTGTCACGGCCATTCCCCAATACCCACCTTCCCCCAAGGATACTCCGCGTCATAACCGTGACCAGTCCCGGTCGTTTTTTGCCAATCTTAAGGCCCCCAAGTCGTCCCACCGGGCCCAGCGGTCTGACAGCTCCAACACCTCAAGTGACAAACCGAAGAGTCGGGGGAGCTCGACAGATCGCAAGACTCCCATTTCGTCCAAGCAATCTGAATCATCTCCTGATCTGCTAGGTGCCGTTGCCCAACAAGAAGACAGTAGGTTTCCATGCTTCAAGGTCCGAGCGCGCCAGATGACTAACCAACTTTATCGGTAGACACGGACAATTCAGACGACAAGAACTCGCAATTGGGAATCAAGAAGGTAGGCTCGACTACCGAACCTGGCGTGAAGAAGAACAAACCCCGTTTTGCGAACCTCTTGTCGCGTTCTCGTTCGATTAGACTGGACGACTCGTCCACCAACCGATCCGCCAACCGACGCCCTTCCACGAGCTTCATGAGACTCGAAGACACCGCCAAGCGAGAATTCCCAGAACCCCCGAGATCTGCGACATTTCGGCCCGAGCGCCCGGTCAAAGCTACCGGAAATCAGATGGCTCGCAACTATACTGCCCAGTCCCCTGTGGATTTTGGCAACGGCGCTGCTCGAAACAAAAACCTCGGCGGTGCAATGGCTCCGTCCGCGTCGTTGAGCCAAGTCTCAGGTGCCTCCGCTGCGTTGTTTAACAACATCAAGCAGTCCTCCACTGGTGCTGCGGACCGTATCGGCAAGGCCGGCAAGGGATTCTTCGGCAAGATCACCAGGAGTGGCAGCACCAACGAGCGCGAGTTAATCAACGATGACAACTACGTCTGCTCAGTCATCAATATGCCTATCATTGAACAAGCGCGACGCACCAGAATCTCGAAGCGACTTGAAGACTGTAAAGATAAGACGGAATTTTGGATGCCCGCTTTGCCGTACCGCTGCGTGGAGTAAGTTGGCCGCTAGCTTACTTGCCAGGCATCTTACTAATGAACTTTATAGTTACCTTAACTTTAAAGGCTGTGAAGAGGAAGGCCTCTATCGTGTGCCTGGTAGTGGAAAAGAAGTGAAACACTGGCAGAGACGCTTTGATACAGGTGAGTCTCATTGCTAATATTCTGGTTTCGCTGTTGCTAAAATGTTTCAGAACTTGACATCGATCTCTTCGAGGAACCCGATCTGTACGATATCAACACTATCGGTTCGTTATTCAAGGCATGGCTTCGTGAATTACCCGACGAGTTATTCCCGAAGGAGACGCAAGCTATGATCGCTGAGAAATGCGAGGGAGCAACGACCGCTCCGCAGCTCTTGAAGGATGAACTCTCGAAGCTGCCACCCTACAACTACTACCTTCTCTTCGCCATCACCTGTCATCTTAACCTCCTCCACTCCTACGTCGACCAAAACAAGATGGACTACCGCAATCTTTGCATATGCTTCCAGCCATGCATGAAGATCGATGCCTTTTGCTTCCACTTCCTGGTCTGTGATTGGAAGAATTGCTGGCAGGGATGTTGGACGGAGAAGGAGTACGTCCAAATTGAAAAAGAGATGGATGAGGAAGAACAGGCGGCCGTACAGGCCAAGGAAGAAGCTGAATCGGAACCGCACGCGAGTGACAGAGCCATCTCGTCCTCTGGTAGCAGCCAACCTGCTGCAGAAGAGGAGTCACAGAATCCTCCTTCTCGCCCCGAGACATCTAGGGGCCGTAAACAAAGGCCAAAGGAAATCAATACCGGTGCAACTAGCGGCCACACTAGGAGCATTTCCCAACTACCCGAGCTTGGGCCACCGCTTTCTCCGATTCGCATTTAAACGACACCCACTCGTCATATTGGCTGACAGGACGTAGTCCTGATGATTTTCCTTTTCCGTCGATACCTTGTTCTCCATTACCTCCGAATTGCGTCGTCGTGAACCATTTCTCATTTCATTTGTACTCGATTACTTTTTGGAAAAAGGCTGGCCTACCTTGAAGCTCTCATTCTTCTTTAATTGTGCTTGGCGCCAGCGGAAGATATCCAGGATTGCGTTCGTCTTGTACTCTTTTCTTTTCTTGTCTTTTTTTTTTTTATAACTAACATTTTCGAATCTCCTCTTTTTGGTCTTGGTTCTCGATATCGATTGCGCTACATGATTTATCGGTTCTATTTTTCACTGTGCATACCCATGTCTATTTCCTTTTTCTGGTGGTTGGTTCTTCGCTGCATTGCCGTTTTGAAGTGCATGCCTGGCGCCTTTGGAGTCGGTCTGTATCTCTGTATCTTTTGTCTTTTTATCTCTATCTTGTCTGTGTAACTCTCTCATTTACTATTTTTTATGGCTTTGGCGATAGGATGGCAATCTGCTTTATATCGTTTCCTGCTTGAATATGGTCTTTTTTTTTTTTTTTTTTTTTTTTTTTTTTTTTTTTTTTTTTTTTTTTTTTTTTTTCTGTTTCAGTTTCAGTTTCAGTATTATCGGCCTTGCAATGTTTCTTTTGTTTTGTGCACCCTTCTAGATTGGCTCTGGGTGTAATCTTGTATGATAGGCGAGGCCAATTCAATCGAGAATGACAGTAATTTGCTTGACTTGAGTAATTGTTCTGAATGCCTAAATGATGGAAAGTAAATCACAGCTTTTTGATTTGTCTCAATGGCAGTATGTATAGTTCAACATAGCACAAACAAGAACCATCGACTCCAACCCAACGCCTTTTTAGTCCAACAAGAAAGAAAAGACCAAACAGTATTAACCGCCTTAGTTACCACCCTTCCGAGCCTTCTTCTCATTCGACCGCATCTTCCTCTCATTCCTCCGTATCCTATCCTTCCGCTCAGCCCTCGACATTCCCCGCACTGAGCTGCCCTTCGCAGCAGCATCCTCCTCCTTCTTCCAATCCTTCTCATCAACCTCCACCAACCAATCATCATCATTCTTGTTCTTCCCCTTATACCCCCATCTAGGCACCCACTCGCCTTTCTCCTCATCGTACACCAACTTTTTGCGCCGCTCCTTATCTGCAAGCGCAGCGCCGGGCTTCGAGCTGTACTTACCGATGCCCTTTTTGCGCGCGAACAGCTCCCATTTCGTGGGTGGTTTGGGCGTGGGAAGGGGCTTGTGCCGAGGAAGCGAGGTGGCGGGCGGTGGCAGGGTGAGCAGCACGCCTTGTTGCGTGGAGGAGGTGATGGGGCAGGTGGTTATGAGTTGGTTGAGAAGGGATTGGACGCCGTCGCGGGCGGTGGCTTTGAGCGAGGCGTTGAGGGGCTGGTCGCGGGGGAGTTCGAGGGGGTTGGGGTCGTTGGCGAGTAGGTGGCCCAGGTCGAAGGTGTAGGGAGTGGGTTTGGAGACGGTAACGGGGCTTTTCATCGGTGCATTAGTTCTGGTTCTTGGCTTTTGTAGATAAGGAAATCTCACAGTCTTTCAGACTTCGAGTCGGCACCCGCTGTAAGAGTGTTTGCCATTTCGACTTCTGTCATTTTGATTGTGGCGCTTGTTTTCACAAACAGAGCGCAGGTCAAAAAGTTGATGTTGGTGACGGAAGTTGTATGCGAAAAAATTGGTTCTAGATAAATTTTGGACCGCCGCTTTAGCGCGGAGCCGGCGCGCTTAAGGGCGGCCGCCGCACTATACCCATTTCGGTAACAGAAATAATCTGCTGTGCTCCGATTCCCCAAGTTACCATCTTCCACCAAAATACTACCCCATTACCTCCACCAACTCTGCCAATTTGCAGCAGCTTGCTTGACAGTCAACCACTGGCCCGTGCCAGTGCATTGCAGTCAAACAATGGCTTCTGCTTTCTGCCGAAGCTGCCTCTCGCGGCTCCCTCGAGCAAGTCTCCTACCGCCGCCCACCGTCCCTCGAACCACCACCACCGCAACCGCAGCAGCAGCAACAGCCGGATTCCACACATCCGCCGCGCACTATGCCAACCCCACAAAGAAGAGCAACAGTTTGGACAGCGGGCCCAAATACCGTCAGGCCAAATCCGCCAAGATGAAGAGGAAGAAGCCGGTCGAGCGGACCCGTCCCCCGCCCATCGGCGAGCGCAAGGCCCTCCGGAATCGCATCGTGCTGGGCAACCCCAATGCTCTGGAGCCGACGGATATGCAGAACATTTCCGTTGAGAATATGGGAGACCCGCGCGTGCGTGGGTCGGTGGTCGGCCTGCCTGTGTCGATGCTGGAGCAGTTGAGGTCCGTTCACGCGTTTAAGAAAAGTCAGGGTTGGGGGTTATTCCGTCGTCCGGCAACTTTTATGAGGAAGGAGGCGTTGGAGATGGGCCGGTTGTTTGAGAAGATTTCGGGTGAGGAACAGGGTAAGGTTGTTAAGAAGGTTATTACTGGTAAGGTGGGGTCGGGGAAGTCGGTGTTTTTGACGCAGGCTATGGCTATGGGTTTTCTCAAGAACTGGGTTGTTTTTACTGTGCCTGAGAGTGAGTAATCTTCCTAATTTTGATGACATGCAAGCTAACTAGGTTTAGCCCAGGAATTGGTCAACGCGCATACTGGTTACGCGCCACTTGATGACGCCAACCCCGGCCTCTACGTCCAGAACCAAGCCACTTCGCAGTTGCTACAGCGCACATTCAAGGCCAATGAGAAGGTCCTGTCCGGCCTAAAAGTCTCCCAGGAACACCCTGCCCTGAAGTCGCTCGTCAAGCCCGGCATGACTTTGGCACAGCTAACCGGCCTCGGTATCAAGGATCAAGCCGTGGCCTGGCCCATCTTCCAAGCCTTGTGGGCCGAACTCACCAGCACGAGTGCACCACGTCCCCCCGTCCTCGTCACTGTGGACGGCCTCTCGCACTGGATGCAGAACTCCAAGTACCGCACCGCCGACTTCAAGCCCATACACGCCCACGACCTCGTCTTTGTGCGCCATTTCCTCTCATTGCTCAAACCCGGCGTCAACGGCAATTCCACTCTCCCCAACGGCGGCCTCCTCCTCTACGCCACCTCCGGCTCCAACAGCCCGCGCATCTACTCCTTCGATGTCGCCCTCAAGCAACTCGAAGCCACCACCTCGGGAATAAACCCTAAGAGCCCAGAATTCCCGCAGGTAGACGCTTACCAGAGCCCGGACCCGCGCGTCATTGAGGCTTTCACCGCCCCGCAGCCCACCTCAGCTAAGGAGGGTAAATTGGAACTGCAGCCCCTGTCTGGTCTCACGCCCGAGGACACCGTGGGGTACATGGAGTTCTGGGCAAAGAGCGGTCTTATTCGCCAGTATATGAACTTCCGGTGGGTGTCGCAGCTGTGGACCAAGTCTTCTGGTGGTATTATTGGGGAGCTGCATCGTCTTGCAGGCCGGCTTAGGGTCCCTCAGCGTACTTAATCGGTTTTCGGTTTAGCTATGACCTGGTTTTGTGTGATCACATCGAAGTCCGTTAAATGGCATATGATGATGGATGTGTCTGAATATCTGTATTCTACTTATGTTCCAGTTTGGTTTCTTTTCTCGTTTATTTGTATGGATAATGGAATTAAAAAAATCTGTATGCTCATGATTGAAATTATACTTGAACGGCTACTATCACGCTGGTAAAGACTTTATCGTGGCTGAGTGTACCGGAATAAAAATGACCTGATGAATTGTAGGGCTTCTCTATCACAGCCTCCTTATGCCCCATACAGATCACGGATTCTACGAACACATCGCGATTGGTCGATTACGAGATGCACTGCATTCCTAAAATGGGCACGGCGCAGCAAGGCAACCACGATACGAGGGTCTAAGATATCAGTCGTCGCTTCGCCCGGGATCTCTTGTCTTCACTGACTTCTCAATTTCTACCAAAATGGCCGACTCCCTCTCTATCGCCACGTGCGCCATCTACGCCATCTTGATTATTCCAGTTTTGTATCTGCTTGTCAGACATGCACGCTTTGGCTTGGCTGGATGGCTTTTGTTGTTGATTTTCTGTGTCATCCGGATTGTCGGTGGTGCTTTGGAGATCAGCAATACTGGCACTGCTGCCGGCATTATATCCAGCGTGGGACTCTCACCTCTGCTGTTAGCAACGAATGGCATCCTACATGAAGCGTAAGTGCTGGCATATCTATCTGGAGTCTAAATATTGATTTTGACTACCTTGGACTGAAAATAGGAGAACGTACCGCATCCGCACTGTAGGCTGGAAAGCCCCCGTGGTCTTCGAATTCCTTGTGCATGGTCTGGTAGCCGCTGGGGTCGTCCTTGCTGCCATCGGATCCTCAAAACTCCAGCGCCTTGACGAGCCAATTGACAATGCCGAGAAGATGGTTAAGGCGGGAATTGCTCTCTTGACTGCTGTATGGGGGATACTGGTCGTACTGGCTGGGCTGTCTTTTGCCGCGCCACGAACAAAGTATGGCGCTGTCATCCGTGCAGGGACATTAGTGAGTTTCGGATTTCATGATATCTAAAGCCTGCATTATCAAGTATAGTTCAAACTAACCTATCCACCCCCAAAACCAGCTGCTTTCCTCCGTCTGCCTCGCTCTCGTCTTCATTGGTATCCGCGTCCTCTACACTCTTATCATCCTGTGCACACAGAAAGGATCCCTCACCCTGGGCTACGGTACTATTGCACTCCGCATTGTGCTCAGTTTCCTGCCCGAGGTGATCGCGGTGATCATCTACATCTGTGCCGGGTTTATGACGCAGTCAGCAGCGACTAAGCTGGCTAACGATGAGTTGGAGGATTCGTCGGCTCGGGAACATTTATCTAGGTGATCATCAGGGCGCTACCAGTTACATTAAGCACTGTAGTTGTTTCTTTTTCTGATATAATAGTTATCATCAGTCTTCTTCACACAAGACCGTTAAATGCACAACAACAACAACAACAATAATTATAATAAACATATGCGTATAGATATTTACTGCCCATCCAAAATCTTCACAACTTCATGATTTCCCATTTCCACCTCCGGATCTCTCGCAGTCTTACCTGGAAATCTCTCAATCCAGCGACAATCCCCTTCTCCAACAGAAACCGCATAAAACCAAGTGCATTGGACCCAACCGCGTAATGCAACGCCGTCTCCATCGTATCCCTCCACGAATTCATGCCCGAGAACTCGTGTTTCCGTTGGCTTATATCAATTCCGGTTTTCTCCAGTAACCACGCAAGGACCTCGATGCGCTCCTCCATGCTGTAGCCCACGCTACCGTGCGCGGCGCAGTGTAAGGCGTTGCTACACCGGAAGTCACCGCCATGTGCGGCTAGGAGCTCTAGTACTGGGGTGGAGGCATATTCACCAGCATGGCTGAGCACGTTAATGTATTGCCCGATGTTTTGAGGGTTGGGGTCTGCGCTGTGGGCGAGGCACCACCGGACGCGGGGTTTGCTGTTGACAACCTTTCTGCTTTCATTAGCAATCGCGCACTTGCGTTCATGGTTAGTGAAAAAAAAGGTTAGAAATGTTATCTTAATATCTAACACTAATACCACACCCGTTCATTAATATCCCGCCCAAACCCCTGGAAAAGCTCCAACACGGTCCTACCCCTCCAGAATTCTTTGCTCGAAGACTTCTTTAGGAGATGGCAACCCAAAGAGGACGTTGTCTGCAAGGGCAAGAGCCAGGAGATAAAGTGCTCCAGAATAAATGGGTTCACCAGAGTTCCAGATGGCAGTGCTGAACCTAATGGTATCAGTTTCCAAAACTCAACAGTGAGGTATTAAGCTTGAAATTATAATGCTTTAGCTTTCTGATCACTGAGAGTATTTCCTCTTCGGCCAACTCATGCTCAATCCACTGAAATGACTAAAAAAGCCATTCATTCAAGGAAGCAAAGTGAGCTTATGTAGTAGAAATTAGTCTGATCATGGGAAGAAGTCCAGGACGAACTCTTGGGCCCAAACTAAAATTGTGTGCATCGGTTGGTTGTCCATCAGAAGCAAGCCCTCCTTCCATAGACTTAATGAGTCTGTGGATGAACTCTTTGAATTACTTAAGTATTGGAGCTGGAAGTCCCTCTCCAACCTAGTAGCCTTCAGGAATGTTCGTCCCCTTGATGAGAAACCTAATAGATAAATGTGAGTGGAGTAGCTTATGTCCAAATGACAGACATACTCGTTGTGACGGCCTGGTCATGTTGGCTGGCTATCACGTGAGATGCAGTTGTTTGCTTTGTTGATAAATACGGCGCCACCTTCTTTCTTCCTTCCTCATGTTGGTTATTCTCGTCGATAGCTACCTAGGTAGAACCCATGAGTTGGATGTTCCATTATCCTAGTAGAGCGCCGTGACACTCGTCATATTTGCACACCCTTTATCTACATCTCTCCCTGGTCTTCATTGATGCTCTACCCCTAGTTCATAGCGAGCAGTTCTTTTCTTTTATTTTCAAGCTGGGAAGCTTTCTACATGTCAGAACAATTGGCCATTTCCCATTTTTGAGTGCTGCGATTGGGGTCGACCGTAATACAAGCACAGAAGTCACAAAAAAAGATGTAATAGACGATGCATGCAAGATGAGATGTTAAGAGTGAGAAGTAAGGGTAGCATCAAGGCATGTATGCCATATTTATATTCAAAATTGGGGCGAAAAGCCTCTGAAGTAGACCCCTGATGGGAATTACTTCCCTCCACTTCCGCCTAATCCAACCAGGAAACATGCTTTGGATAGTAATGTATGCAGTGGTAAAATCAAGTTATTTGGCTCTTGCCTTTGTGATGCCCTCATTAAAATGATGGGCCGTGTCATAGACAAGGAAGTTTTAGTCTGTACACATTTTAGAGACCGAGCAGTAGTCATATGAGAGACAAAATGGGGAAAGGAGGAGCTGCTCCTGGACTACTCACTGAGCCTGTAGAGGTATCCGGGGGCAGCCTGAGTGGCCTGGGGTACTCACAAAGCACTCGTGTGCTACCCTCATAAAAGCAGCGGCACCTGTATCGGGCAACCGGACGGAGCTTGTAGCAAAACAGTTAAGTTATGCACTATCAACAGTCGTAAAATGCCAAACACATAAAGCATAAGAGAAGCAAACGAAACAATGCAAAAAAGTACCTCCGCTCCAAAAGCCCAAGAAACAAGTAAAAGAAAAAAAAAAGTCTAAAACCTCCATCTCAATGCCTTCACATAACGGTCAATCATAGAGCCCCCATCATTCTCTGTCGATCGTGTTCGCTTTCGACTAGATCCACTGCCTTCATACTTGGTCTCGTCGTGGTCTTGACTTTGGGTCTCAGCCTGACTTTGGTTTTGGCCCTGTGCTTGGCCCTGTTCTGTGCCAGTGTCCGAGCCACGAACTCGATCACGGTCTTGACTAGGGTCATGGGGTATATAGCGATACTGGTCCGGATTCGAGTTACTGCTCGAACTCGAACCCGCTGAAACATGCGGACTACCCGAGCTCCTCGGACTACTCGAATTATTTGAGTTCCTAGAATTCCCCGACCTCTTAGGACCAGACGGATACTTCTCTGGATAGAAACCATAACGTCCAAAGAATCTTTCAGGATGGAGTTCAGGCCGGGTAAACTTCATCTTGGGCCATCTCCTCTTGGTTTGTGACTGTAGTTGTTGGAGGCGTGCTGGTGCTTGTTTTGGTTGCGGCCGTTGTGGGGGAAGCACAGCTTGTGTTGGGTCTGATTGTCCTGGTGGCTTTGATTGCTCTGCTTGCTGCGATGATTCTGGCTCCGATGACTTCTGAGACCCCAATGACTGCTGTCGTGGCGACGATGACACGAACTGTATATTCTCCGCTGGTTGTGCCCGCTCCGTGATTGGCGAGACTTGTGATGATCGTGGCCACTCCATGCTCCCAGGCACGTATGGATTGGAAAGCATTTGGTTGAAGCTAAGCTGTCCATTTGAGCCGCTATCTTCGCGTAGGATTCGTGCGGGGTTGTTCCTTTCTTGTCGGTCGTGGTTTTCGGAAGGGATGCTTTCCGTGTCGCCTTCTCTTTCTTCAAGAAGGTCGTAAGGAGGACTATTGTTGTAGTTATTGTGGTTGTGGTAGTGCGCATAGTTGTGGGCGTAGTTCTTGTCGCTGCTCTCACCGTAGTGCTCATCGTCGGAGTCATCGTCTTCTTCGTTTGGGTCGTAGGTATCACGGCAGCGAGGGCACTGGCAGTCTTTCCCAAGGATTCGCTGCGCAGACATAGAGGACATCGGCCTGTACTTGTATGGGATGCGTATCTCGGTGCCCTTGGGGATATCCTCAGCAGCCCACACAAGCATACGATTCGGGATCTCCTCATCATATCCCCAGTTCGCATTATTTCCTCGGTAGTTACAGGCGTGGTTGAACAAGCTAAAACCAGAGAATAGGTACAGCGTTTCGAAGTCCGGGTTAAATACGTCGAAGCTCTTCCTTTCATTTAGCATAGCTTTCTGAGCTGTTGTGCCTGGCAGTTCTCCATTTGTACCAAGTCTTTCTCGCTTGACTCGTTCGATGTCCCCGCGCCATTTATCGTCCCAGGGTACGGCGTTGATGATCAGTTTCCGTAGGACAGTCTGGATGACCCAGGTGTCGAAGGAGAGGTCGCTGAATATGTCGACGCCCAGTTGCAGGAGAATGTCGAACGGGACTCTGATATTTGCGGCAAACGTAAACGGAAACCAGCTATTGGACCAGGACTTGGGATCTTCAAGCATGGCTAGTTCGTCAATTTCGTGCGCCATGATATTCGAGTCTCCCGTCCGTATACGTCTCATCAGGGTGATATCGAAGACTTCTCGTAAGAGGAGACTCAGGGCTGTTCCGTGATTCTCGTTCGTGTGCGTAAAGAAATTTATATGGTCCTCGAGATGGCCCTTGAGATCGGTGTAATGATGGGACCTTTTCCAGGGCGTGATCCTAGCACGCATTGCATCGTGTAGCCAGTCCCAATTCTTTCCACAGACCCGGTAATGGTATAATCCCTGGGCTATCTGGAGGCATGTAGTTTCCTGTTGCGGATCCGACGGACAGAAACACAAACGCTCTTTAGCCTCTAGGAGATGACAGGGGCAGGCTTCTGGATGGGTCCCGTTCTTGATGGTAGTGCTTTCACTATCATACCGAGCCAGGACATCAACATCAATGGGCCTGCGGCAATTTTCACATCGAAGCTCTTCTGGTTCGTAAGAAACTTTATTTCTTGGAAGCTGGGCTACTCCCAGGTGCCCTCGGATCGAAGGCTCCTCTGCAAAGATCAATGTCTTTTTCTCAATATCCTCTGTCGCTACGACAAACAATGAGTCATCTTCAGCACTCGCTCGAACCTCGCACTTTGGATAGTCCCTGAAAACATTGTTGTTTATGAGTTCCAGTGACACGCTCATGGTCCGGTTTTTATTGTTTGCCCCGTACGGATACTCTTTCCCGCCGTTGACGTTCCCGGCATTTTTTTCGTGGTAGAAAAGGCGTTCTTTGCTCCGTTTGCCTCCATATTCTCTGGCCGTATCTTCTAGGACCCTTTGTCGGCGTTCGAAGGCACTTGCATCACGGTAGTTGCTAAAGATAACTCTCTCCGGCAGATAACGCTCCATCACCTTGTAGTCCTTCCAGGAACCAATCGCTGAAAGACTGAGGCTAATGATATTATGGAGCACTTTGCGGATTATAGCTACGAAGGAGTTGATTCCGTTCATTCCCCGTAACGTCTCAGTCTCCGACTTTATACGATCTGCCAGGATATGCTGCTCAATCGCATTCCAGATCCGCAGATAAAGGCCAGGCTGGCGGTTTCGCTGTCGGCCATCATTCAGGACTTCACAGAGAAGCTGTGCTCGATACGCATCGCCAATTGCGAGGTCGAAAAACGCTTGCAAATAGTGACAGTAAGCCCGGCTCAGCCAATAGGCAGGGTTGTAGGGACTCAATATGATGGCCCAGGTATACATGTCAAGAGGCTTGAGGGAGTCTGTTTCCGAGAGCTTGAATGTGAAGTTGTTGCTTCTATTCACACCCCAATGCGAGAGGTCGCTTTTCGGTAAGAAAGTATACCCCCGGGATCGGCGCTCGTCATCATGCAGACGCCTTCGAAGATCCGTCGCGCGTCCTGAACCATCCAGTCCGCGGCTGTGCAGCTCTGCTCGCAACCTGTCCACTGTCCAATATGGTGCGCTCAATACATCATGTCCCTGTATCAGGGTGGGGCCATCGGGGTATTGTGCGTGTAACCCCTTTGCAGGGTCGAAGATTTCCTGGACTGACCACGTTTTGTTGTGAAGTGTGGTTTTCTCCCATCTTTGCTCCCAGTTATCTTCCGAAGGTGGTATCAAATGCTGTTGCATCAGATGCTCATAGACATTATGCGCCAGGGCATCCATCGCTGTAGCATCGCGTGGATGAAAAGGGCCATTTGGATCTTTCACGCGGCCGAGGATCGAGTCCGGAAGCTCCCAGAGCTGACGAGCGAGCTTTGCGTCCCCGACAGAGATATGCGGAGCCCATTGGACTTCGTCGAATAGGTCAGGCCGCGGCGGAAATGCCGGGGGCCTGATTGTTTTATCAGGAGGGCGGGTATAAAATATATTGCGGTTATGAGACATGGCACAAGTCAAATGTATAGTTAAAGATGAAATCAATAGAAGCAAGTAGTCCACAACTTCTTGGTATAATCCAGAAGGAATGAAGGTCAGACAAGGAGGAACATACGATGTTAAGCGGAATAAATTCCAACCGCAGAACATATTATCAAGTACGAATATAGTACAAATATAGAAATCCTGGAACTTGACAAAGAGAGTATCTGATGAAAGAGAGTCTGGTCAACGTGACTCTGGTAGAAAACCGTCAAAAAGAGATTCTTTGGAATGGTTCCATCCGAACGCGACAGACAAAGGAGACTGTCAATTTTGGATTGGGATCTATTTTAGATCCCGGATACAAAGTCCGACATAACTAAGGTATTCCCAGGTTGAAAGAGTGGTACTTGGACATTGATGGTCAGTTCACCTATTGTTTGCTGGACTCGGGCATAGAGTGGACAATGTCCTCCTACCGGTGGACAAAAACGCGCTATGCTACTCATTTTTTTGTCATAAGATGTCCAAGATGAACAGATTCATAACATTGCGGGTGTAAGGCTGGTGCCGATACAGTCATGATCTCGAGTATAGAGACATCGCGAACCATTTTTTTTCTCGAGGCATTCTCATCGCCATGGTTCGAAGATATCAAACTACCCACCACAGGGACCGGAGCTATAACAACATCCTGAGCCGTTATGTAGCCGCCAGTGAGTCGTCTTTCAAACGTGTCTCTCTTTCATCTTTCAGATTGTTGATGGTGGTAGCTCTTTTGGATTGCCCGCTGTGTCTTTGTAGCGCTGGGCGTTTCTTTCATCGAATAGGCTTTCAAACTAGACATCTCCAGTCGGTTCGCCCGGACTATTTTACCGAAAATATAGAAGAAACTTGCTTTGTCGGGTTGTAGACAGATAGAATGAGCGGAAAAGAAAGTAGAGGGGAGCAGAAGGGGAGTAGTCAGGAGTCGGGATATACGAAAGAGGAAAATCAACAACACGGTCAGCAGGGCGTATCAACTGACCATAATTGCCATGATTAACTCTCTAAATCACTGCCTCTTCTTATATTATACTGTAAGGGTATCTCTTTTCTTCTTCCTACTCTTTTCTTCTCCACCCTGTTCTAGTTGGGTCAGGTGATGAGTCCAGCTGAACTCGGATCTTTTTTCCACTCAACTCTTGTTTCTCCTCTCTTTCGACTCTCCACAATCCACTCTCCTTTCTGTCTTCTCTTGAATCTCCTTGACGCTCGCTGACTCAGGAGGGTTGATTGCCAGAAATGTATTCCAATTCTGGCCCTCCGCCGCCAGAATGGCGTCTTCCCCCGCGGCCGCCAACAACTGCGACAGGGACGACAGCAGCAACAACAGCTACCTCTACGCCATCAGCTTCTCCAGTCCCTCCCCCCCCTCCTCTGGCCCCGCCAGCACCAGCAATTCCCTCCTATAATCCAAATGCCTTTGGTCCTATGCCCGGTGCCCCTCCGGTTGCGACGGGGATCGACACGACGGCGTGGGGAGTGAAATTCAACCACCATCAAGCCCACTCTCCTCCCCCTCCGTTGCCCGTGAGTGCTTCAAACGTCTAGCTAGAATAATCATAGACTTCCATGCTGACAGACTGCTGGATAGCCTCGTCCTCCTATCGTAACAGACCATGTCCCGGCGCGCATCCAGTCTCCTCCGCGAGTCGGTTCTCCGGCGTCGAACAAACCATTGCCATCCGTCCCGCCATATGGAGGCCAAATAGCGCCTGAGCAGTATAGCTATGGCCCTCCGCAAACTGTCGGCCCTGTTCCCCCACCACCGCCCCCGGTTCCTCCTGGTTACCAGAGCCAGTTACAGCAGCAGGCGCATCCACCTGCACCTGTCGCATCAGATCATAGTGGCCCCGTTAACTATACAACATCTTCACCATTGGAACATCCTCTACCTCAACCGTCGTTAGCTGTTGCAACAGATTTTAAACCATCTCCTAGCACTGGCAATGGCCCTCCACCAGTACCGCCAAAGACTAGCTCTAATGTATTCACTACAAGCTCTAGCATGGGACCTTTCAGTCCGTCGGACTGGGAACATCTGGGTCCAGCTCCAGGATACATCGATGACACAGAAGTCTTCTCGTCCAAGAAAACAACACCGGCACCTCCGGCCGAGCCATCGCAAAGTCATGCGACATTTATGCATAGCCCCGCATCAAACCCTTACATCCCAACTTCTATCCCGCCTCAGAGCGTCTCACCTGCGTTACAGGTCTCGCATGTCGGTGATCAGGTCGGAATGCAGAAGCCATCTACTGAGTCGCCGATCAGCACAAGCTCTACGCAGGAGCTACCACATCCATCTGGTCCGTCCCGAGTCAATACCGCCGAAACAACGCAGAGCTCTGCAACTGGGACCACCGAGAAGATCGATGGGCTCATTGAGGCCTGGACTCGACCAATCTCTCCGGATGCCAGGAAATCTGCGAACAGCAGCCGTCGGAGCTCCCTTTCCAGGCCAGCAGATAGAACCATACAACGTAAACCTAGTCCAATTGGCAACCCGACGTCAAGGTCAGGAAGTACACCCCCTGCAAAGGATGGGCAACAACTGTCTACACCTGACAGCTCAACGGCAAACACAGGAGGCGCCACTCGTCTAACTGTGGTCGATCCATACGAGGACTTGGATCCTTGGTTCAAGTCTTCTTTGACCCGTTATGTCGCCATGTTGCGCAAGGAAGCGGTTGCTGACTCCGACGAGGAGAGGTATAAAATTTTCACAGCGTTCACAGCCAAGGAGACGAAACTACGGGAGATCCTTTACGGTGTTGAACATGAACCTAAGAGTCCCAAGGGTGAAGACGTAAATCCACACCAGTCAACCCCAAGCCCACAACAATCAGCGGAGAAGGAGAAGGGGAATCAACCGATGCCACAGTCCTCAGTACCAATAGAATCTGGTCTAATCCCGGTAGAATCAGAGCAAGATGTCCTTGAATCTACGTACACCGCCGAAGATTTCGAGGATGGAGAATACAGTCCCGGTGGGCGGCCAATTATTCCCAGGCTTTACACTCCCAATAATCTGGAGAGACCAGCTACACAACCACCTGGCCATCCGGCTTCGAGGCTCACAGATACGGGAAGTCATCATGGCGGCCATGATCAGTTCTCGCGGTCATCCTCAGTACCACCTTCGATGAACAGTGAAATACATCCGCAAACGTTTGCGCCTCTGACGACAAATCCTCCGCAGCCAATCTATACGCCATTCCGCTATATTGAAGGACCTCAGCGAGGCTCAGATGATCTTGCGCTTGATAAACCGGCTTATCAAGCATATTCTGATTTGCGACAAGCCTCTGCTGAGAGCGGACGTGTGATGGCAAATGCGTCGGATTCCGATACAAAAACAGGCGCCAATACTAGAGTTTCCTCCCCAGCCCATAACGAGCACAGTGAAACGTTTATCGGGCTCATTCGTGAGAAAAGTGTCACCTATAAGAAGAGGAGACCTCACAGAGCATCATCACCTCCGCCATTGCCACCGTCTCTCCGGCAAGGTAGACCTGACCCTGTTAATGACCTGCGTTCAATGGTTTCATCCCCCCTAGCCAAGCAATCAGAGAGCTCGTGGCATATTACTACCAAGAAAAGTCTGGAGCAGTACTCCGACGACTTTGCTTATATCCAAGAAGCGTTTAGTACGTGGGAGGCGACTTCTAAGACTCGACGGCAGAACCTTGATAAGGAACGTATGCAGCGTCAAGAGAAATCTGAAGCACACGTCGACTCTCTTTTCAATGGCAAGGAGATCGGATATGCCGATATCAACGTTCTCGAGGAAGAATTCAGACAAGCAGAAGCTCGAGTGCAGCTTGATGAAGAGAGACAAGAACTCGACGATTTCATTAAAAATGTTTTCAATCCATTGGACGAACGTCTGGGTCGGGAAATCAGTGCCCTTCTGAATCACTACGAGTCTGCGCTCAGTCAGCTCAGTCAAGAAAACAGCAAGATCAAGGATTCGGGAGACAGGCACAACCTGTCACATACAATGAACATAGTGAACGACATCTACCGGAATCTCGAAATGCGTTACCAGAAACGCCTCAACACTGCTTTTGACCGAGAGCGGCGCCGAAAGAAGGCCGAGCGGAGACCGCTCGTCTTCATGGGTGACTCCGCGGCCCTCAGGAAGCTGGATAATGAGTTTGACCAGATGGAAAAGCGAAACATCTTTGAAGCGGCTAAGGATCGCGATGAGAGAGCTAACCGACTCATGGATGCTTTCGACGATGCTATTATGCATGGTCTAGGTGAAAACCAAAGTCTCCTCGATGATGTGTCAACGAAGGTGAAGAAGGTTGACGCTTCGCATCTTCAGTTGACTAGCTTGTCAGAGTCTGAAGTAGAGCAGATTCTGAAATCCGTCTCGACTATGGTAGACACCCTTCGACGAGATTCTGAATCCATCCTGCATAACTTTGGCATCGCCGATTCCACCCTCAACAATGCCGACTACCGTCTTTCCGTGGCCGAGGCACGTTATACCAACGCGGACCATGATGTTTTCCGTCGTCTTAATGCCGAGAAGCAGAAAGAAGATGCGAAGATCCAGAAAGACCTCGAGTCGAAATTAAAGAGTGTTCAAGATGGGCCTGTTGAGGTCACTCAGAAGATCAACGAGCTACTTAAGGCTTTAGGGAAAGACCTAGTGACTGAGCCAGAAAGGCCATCTGATGCGCAAACATCTTCTAGTCATCCTGTCGATAGCTTGATGCCAGGACCCCGTCCTGCTACTGCTGGTCCACTATCCAATGAAGACTCGGAACATCAGCAGCGGATCCGGAGGGCCTTGGAAGCAGCAAAGAAGAGAAATGCTGCCAAAGCGCATGGTACTATGGCATTGCAGTAATACAATACCTACCTTGAAATCCCTCCTATACCGTTTGGTTGTCTTTATTGTTTATGACCGCGCGGTCTTTTTGAGCCGGCTCATGACTTAACGAATTTCCTTTCTATACCCTCCTTTGACCAATCTGCTTTCATTTTCTTACGATGCTCATGGCATACATCGCAATCCAACAAAGTGCCAATATAGTGGGATCGGTGGTTAGTGACAATTCGGGAATTGTCCATGATATAATAGCATTTATGGCCAAAAGAGTGAGCATCAGAGAGCATTTGCATAAACGATACATATTATAGTCGTAATAATACCATTTGTTTCATATTATCAATTGAATGTTTCGTACTTTGGTCTTGTGTGTTATAATAATAATATTTCAGCTGAAGCCTTGAGCCTCAAACATGCGCAGCTCCTTTCAGCTCCCACTCGTTTTTCTTCTGTCAACCACTTCCACTTCCATTTCTAGATGAATATATTTTGAAGTTAGAGGAGTTCTTATCACTGGTGACTCCCAGCCCATTTGAATTACTCGTTTCACCATCTTTCAACGCCAACACGGTTCTTTCCTTAAGCGGCCGCCGGTTTACACGCCGCCAGGAATCGACCACAGGGGCCTCAGAGGGTTCAAAACCATGACAGGTATATTCCATTGCTCACTGCTTCAAGATACGCTCTTCTCATCCAAAGCGCGCTGTGCTATGCGGACTGCTGACATTTTTGTTCATTCCGGGTTGAATTGTCCTTCGCTGTCGAACGTCCACTACTGTCTACCGCTCGGCCCCGAAGAGAACTGGAAGCAACGTGGATTCCATAAGAGGATAACGTTGAGAATATATACCGAGGAGAGGGTAAGGGGCAAAATATGGTGGCATACAGACGCCAGGATGTCGATGGAAGGGAAGAGGGCTCGGATCAGTCGGACAGCACGGAGTCCTGTTCTAATCCAACCGAACGTTGACCTTTGACATTGAGAGATATATATATCTCCAGATATAGATATATATATATATCATTCAACAGCAGCTGCAGCTTTCGAGACTTCAAGCTGACGGTTGTCTGATGCGCTACATCGCTGTGCTTGCACGAACTCTCGGGGGGCGCGCCATTGCAAACCTCCTGAACACAAGGTCGATCGAAATCGAAACTCCCAAGTCCTTCCAGCTCACACTATGAGGACACCCTATAGGGACCAGCCGTTTATAATCGACCTTGGCAAAGGAATGCGTTTAAATTTACTTCATTGTGCTAATTATTGACGGTACACTGGCATCCGATACTCCCCGCTATAGTCGCTCGCGGTTCGCGGCGCGCACATACTTTGCAGCGCCATACTCAAGGCAAATAGAGTATGCGAGCATTTCCAATGATGTCTTTCCAGGGCTACATGCTGATCATGTGGAATCGCCTAGAGATTTTTGGCTTTGGTGGAGGTGAAATTCTCCTGGATTTGATTTCCCCAGGGATCATGATTCCAAATCATTCCAGATGGCATATGATTTTTTTTTTCTTTGCCCAAAATGATTCAGGTCCACACGCGTCATGGTCGTCGCTTTTACTTCTCATTGGAAAGACGTAAAAAAAGCTTCAATTTGAGAACAGCCACGATTCGTCCCAGCACATGGCATTGCTAGGATAATATCCGTTGAAACAAGACTTGGAACCACAGGATGGCTTCTTTATTAGAGATCTATCGGGCAGAGACATGTTCGGCGCGGCACTTCCAAATCTTACGAAGGGTGTCTTCTGAATGCCGTCTTTGGGCATCTGGTTCCATGGTTCCAACTCGTTTTGAATTACCATCTCCATCCTAACCATTGGTTTTGTATTGTTGGTCCGTTGATGCGAAATTCGTTCCTCGTGTGCGCTTGGCAGCTTGTTATTTCTGTTTGCTCTTGATTCATGATCATGCAATGAAGTCGAGGGCGCTCCTGCGCCCGAGAATCGTGAAGGATTCGTGAAGTAGTTAATTTTGCACTTCTCCCCTCTTCTTTTTCACTTGGGCCAACATGGCGTTGGGGGAGCCATTTGAATCATAGTACCCGCTCTCATCCGTGGTTCGGGACAAACTCTATATATTATCGGGTTGGCCATCGCAGAATCCACGGGTCAGCGAATATTTTCTCTGGAAGCCTATATTCCGAACCAAAGTTCTCTGGATTTACATAACGTCCGTGCCCGATGTCTGCTCCTACAAAACAGTTTCACAAACTTTCTATCGGCGGCAATATGCCAGGCAGACGGTCCCAGGCTGAGAGGAGGGCAGCGGCTGCGGGATCGCATCGCCCCAGTGACGACGACGACGACGACGAAAACGACGACGATGACGGTGAACTCATGCAGGTTTCCGGTGAAAGCGAGCAAGCGGAAGAAGAAGGGGCTGACGAAGAGGACGAGGACGAAGAGGAAGACGTGACGGAGTCTTCACAATCATCCACTCTTCAAGCAAGATCGGGCATCACTTATGATCTTGCCCATCTCGACCCTGACTCAGAGGCCAGGGCCCTCCTGGGTCTCACGGGTAGATTCGACGTCATTCACTGCGAGTCGACACAGACAGGCTACGATTTTCGATTGTCAGAACGGCCACAAGTGCATATCGGTTCGGATACTTATACGTGTACATGTTCTGCTTATCAAAGTCGACCCGATGTGGCCTGCCAGCATATTTTTGTAAGCTTTCCCCCCTTTTTCAGAAACGGAACGAACGAGACAAGGAATGGGGGAAAGGCAATAGCGGGACGGGGATGCTGATGGTTTGTTCGTCTTTGCAAGTGGCTTCTTGACCAACTTCACGGTTGCTTCATGCCCCAACCTCCTTCCTCTGATGTGCCCTTACTGAGCAACGGTCATTCGCCGCAATTTCCTCGCGTCGAACACCTCCTTGACGGCAAACTAAAAATGGTGGCAGAGCAGCTGAACTGGCAGTACTCGCGGTCCGAAGTGGAAGGGGGCATGAGCCGTCCGCAAAAGGTCCGCGACATCATGTCAGCATTCAGCACACTCATACTCCCTGAGGACTTCCGTCTCGACCTAGTGGAGGACACAACACATTCTCGCACACCAGAGCAATGCGTCGTCCAGGGGGACTTCGAAGCCACCATGTTCCGGCTAGCCGTACACAACGACGAAGTCTACGCCAGCCTGTGTAAAGCGATGCCCCCTGGGGCCTGCGCGGCCATCTATTTCGACAAGGTTCAGGAGAAGACGCGGAAGCTACTGGTGGATTTCGATCGATACTGTCTCACAGGACAACACCCGGCCGCCGACGGGACCGGCACGAGCCTGGATGTCGATGCCGTTGTCAATGATTTGCAACAAAATGTCGATCGAATCCATGCCAATATCATCGCGCGCACACCACACGGCACAGAAGGCGCTGCAAAGACTCTGGTCGCAATCCTGGAGGAAATCTGCAACCGCGACAAGGACGCTTTGGACGGGAACCGCTGGGGCCGGGCGTCGTTCAACGGCGAGGACGAGGACCAGCGCAACCTGTACCATCGGCTGGTTGGCAAAGCGGACGAGACGGGCGAGAACTTTGTTCTAGACGCGCTAGAGCACATCCCGGCCTCGGACCTGCACCAGTTCGGAGACAAAATGAGCGCTATTCTCCACCGGAACGAAGTGAATCGGGGCCCCAAGAGCTACATCCTCAAGCTGAACGCACTAGTACGCCTCGCCGAGCCTGCATCGTCCGGGTCCGGGCAGAAACGACCTGCTACTGCTACGACCGGGGGAAATAGTAAGCGGACGAGATAGATGATCTTCCTTTTCTTGGTTCCCCTTTCTTCTTTTCTTTTCTTTTCTTTTATTTAGTGTTCTTTTCTCATCTGGGTCACGGGCGTGGATGCGCAGCTTGCTTGACAGCTGGCTTTTCCTTTACGATTTTATCAATACCCCTGCCTTGTCTTCGATTTATTACCTTGGGAGGTCTTTTGATTTAAGCTACTGCTAGTGCATATACCAATAACATATTGACAATAGTACGACTGATTTGGACCGAGAGAAGAATCCCCTTAATGGCGCTATCAATATACTCAGTGTACTAAACTATGCTATTCAATAACGTATCCATCATCATGAACTCATACGTAATACACTACGCACAATACGTACTGAAATCACGGCTCAAACTCCAGCGCTGCGGTTAAAAGCGTCCCGAGCCAAAAATTTCTGAATTCTCTATACGCCGTATACGTGCCTCTTTGTCCTTCGTCCTACCTTTATTGGTCCGTACTTTGTCCCAAAAATATACTTTATCTCCGACCCCGTATAATAAAGTACCGTCTCCAAAAATAATAGCGGAATGGCGCTCGTTGATCCCCCCTGCCAGCGCAAATGTACGGGACTATTCTTGGCCGGGGGGAATAGCGTGACGGATCCACGTACTTGTATAGATAGAACTTTTGCTAAGTAGGTGAGGATTGAGTTACGCAAGACAACCAGAGTTAGTTAATTACCCTGTTTAGTAGGAGTCTTTATGCTACGCATTGGGGTGCGTATCTGGGTATGGTTGGAGAGGTGCGATGCCGAGGTCGTTTTTTTGAAGTGGTTTTTATATGCAGAGTGTGGAGCGTTTCCTCAACAGCCGGCCGGCTGGCCCAATGGTAAGGCGCTTGACTACGAATCAAGAGATTGCAGGTTCGACCCCTGCGTCGGTCATTATTTTTTGTTTTTTCTTTTCTTCTTACGCTCTGTACGGAGTATTTTTGCTCAATACTCGTTGAAATTCAATTGCTCATTTACTTGTATGTAACTACTATGATCAAGACAAATCCAAAACAACTCGTCCCTGCACCTTACCCTGCCCCATCTCCTCAAAAATGCTCGTCAAAGCATCCATCTTCTCCGTCCGGCAATGTGCCTTGATGATACCCCTAGCCGCAAAGTTCAGCGTCTCAATTGCATCCGTCCGGTTGCCAACAGCTGACCCCGTGATCGTCTGGTGCCCTATGATCATACGTCCCGGGAAGGCAGTCGCGATAGCCTGCGGGTCTCCCTCGGGAACACCAACGCAGACCATCGTCCCATTGAAGCGTAGGAAGCCCAGCGACTGAGCGTACGCGACATTGGCTGAAGTACACACTACCACGGCGTGAGCGCCCAGTCCATCGCTTAGCGATTTAACATGCTTGGCGATGGCTTCGCCCTGGTCGTCTCTGGGGAATTTAGTGACGTCCACGAAGTGCTCGGCGCCAGACTCCTTGACTAGCTCTGCTTTGCTGCCATCGTCGACTCCGATCACGCGTAGTCCCATGCCTCTGCTGGCGAGTTGCACGGCCAAGTGGCCCAGGCCACCGCCAGCCCCGGAAATGACAACCCACTGACCGGGACGAGCGTTGCTGCGCTTCAGGGCGGAGTAGACGGTCACGCCTGCGCAGAGCATAGGCGCTGCTTGATCGGATTCGAGGCCATCGGGAATCGGGGTGACATAATGGGCCGGGCCTAGGGTATACTGTTGGAATGTGCCGGGGGTATAGTAGCCGGAGATCTTTTGGTTGAAGCACTGCCCGTCAGAGCCTGCTTGGCATGGCAGGCAGTTCGTGCACGCGCTGGAAACCCATTTGACTCCCACTCTATCGCCAAGTTTCAATCCAGCTGATTCGGTACCAGGGCCGAGTTTGACGACTTTCCCAACACCTTCGTGGCCCCCGACTTGTCCGGGCTGCGTAGGAAAGGGGAGCACTTTCCACTGGGATCGTTAGCTATATATATCACCGCGCTTTTTGCCTGGTAACGTACACTGTTTGTCATAATACCATAATCAGAATGGCATACACCCGTGTGAGTCCTGTCGATTGTCAGTAAGATCACTACCCAGAGTACTTTGGAGAACACTTGTGATTTGAATGCTCTGCATACAGGTTGATCAACACTTCGCCTGTGCTAGGCTCAGGCACATCCAATTCCACCACCTTTGTCGACACCGATCCAGGCTCATCATAGATAACAGCCTTTTGTTTCTTTGGGATCTCTGGGGCAGCCATGTTGTATTGATTGTTAGTGCTAAGCGAAGGGACGATCTAGTATTCGAGAAGGTGCGGGGTAGAAGAGGAGGTCAATTGATATGGCGAAGAGGATAATGATATTGTAGTTTGTCCGGATTGACTGGAAAATCACGATTCTTAAATACCCTTAAGCTGCAAGACTGAATAACTCTAATGTCTGATCGTGGAGATGATGACTTGTGGACTGAAAGCCAAATTTGAGGAGTAAATGCGGAGGTGGCGGGGTGATGAGCGGATCCGGGGTTGACCTCGGTTACTTGTATTTCATATCCGTCCGTGGAAGAGCAAATCGACGCCAATCCGGAACCTGGCTTGTACAACACGTAGCCCGGTTAATGAGTATACCTGCTAGATATTTGCCGCTCTGCGGAAGTCTCGGCCCGCCGCCCCATCAGCATGAGACCGATATATGTGACTGAAATGCGAGTGATAAGAGGATGTGACGTTGGATTTGATAAGGATGCATGATTGACGCGCCGTCCTGTGATTGCCGGGTGGCCGTACAGTAGTGCCGTAGCGTGCGTTTTTGGGGGGAGGGGTGGTCAGTTCGAAGTGGTCTGGACGAGGAGATCGGAGTCGAATTAGGGTAAAACAGTGGAGATAGAATCCAAGACGGAGTGAATAGAGAGTAAAAGACGGACGAGAATATAAGAAATGGCTTTTATAAGACCAATCCCAAAGGTACTCACCAGCTTGAGGTGTCAATCATGGAATCGACCTTGTTGGATATCAACCCTCGGTATAATGACCACCGACGGAAATGGCGTCTTCAAAAGAGCTGCACGTAGCACAATGGCTGGGTATGACATCCTCAACCCGAATATTTTTCTGCCTCTCGTTAAGCAGAAGAGAAAGGAAAGACCATTCTGTTTAATTTATTTGATGATCGAACGCCGCATCTCCTGAACGCCTGCAAGCACGACGACGTAATGCCATTTCCAATCGTGGACTCACATATACACCTCTTTCCAGCTTCACACCTGCCATCGCTAGCCTGGTATGGTCCCAATAGCCCTCTAGGATCCCAGCACTGCGTAGATGAATATCGCCAAGCAACCTCATCCACCCCAATCGTCCCAGATTCAACAAAATCAAATTATCACCGCGGATTCATCTTTATCGAGACAGACCGGATATCGTCGATTGAGGAATCAGGTTATGGATGGAAGCACGTCCTCGATGAAGTTTCCCTTCTCGCGCAGATTGTTCGCGGAGAACCCATCGACGAAGACCAATATCGCCATGTAGATCGTCCACCTTGCTTGGGAATTGTGCCTTGGGCTCCGGTGCTTGGTGGTGCTGTCGTTCTGGAGAGGTATATGGATAAGGCCAAGGAGGCGGCTGGGACAGACGACGTGTGGAGGAGGGTTCGAGGAGTGCGGTATCTGGTCCAGGATAAACCGTCTGGGGTGATGTTGCAGCCAGGGTTTATCGATGGTCTGAAGTGGCTTGGGAGGGAGAATTTGACGTTTGACTTGGGAGTAAGTGCAAGACAAGGAGCATTGTGGCAGTTGCGAGAAGCTGTTGAGATGATGGAAAGAGTTTATGAGGGTGTGGATGAAAAAGACCAAGTGGTGATGGTTATCAGTATGTCTATTGTCCATTTACCACAATGCCCAATCCTAACCGATCCAGACCACCTCTGCAAGCCAAACCTACGCCTTCCATACACATCTCCCGAATCCATTACTACCAACCCAGACTTCCTGGAATGGAAGGCGTTCATTACTGCCATGGCGCAGCACCCCAAAACATACATGAAGCTCTCTGGTGGTTTCTCAGAATTACCATTGCTCACGCCAGCTCCTGAACCTGACATTCCATCCCTCGTCGAGAGACTTCACCCATGGACTGATGTGGTCTTTGATGCATTCGGCCCTGGTAGAGTGATGTTTGGGTCTGATTGGCCTGTTTGTAACCTTGGAGGAGGCGGGAACGATGTAACTTGGAGACGATGGAAGACTCTAGTTGAGGACATTTTGGAGAGACGTGGGTTGAGTGAAGAGCAGAGAAGAGGTATCTGGGGGGAAGTTGCACTGGAAGCCTATGGGATTAAGACCGAAGGACTGTAATGTATAATCTACACTGATATCTTTTCTAACTAATAGAAAGTGCGACTTTCACTGAAGATTAACAAACAACCCCCCATCAACCAACAACTGCGCCCCAGTAACATACCCACTCAACTCCTCACACGCCAAAAACACCGCCGGCCCAGCCAAATCCGGTGGCTGTCCTAACCTCCCTAACGGAATCCTCCCCTCCATATATTCCCTCTTAACCGGATCACTCATATCCTCTTCATTCAACTGTGTTCGGATAGTGCCCGGTAAAAGAGCATTGCAGCGAATGTTGTATTTGCCCAGTGCCACTGCAGTTGATTGCATTAAGCTGAGGACTCCGGCTTTGGTGGGCGTGTAGTGTGTTTGCTGGCCGCCTCCGACGAGGGCGGATATGGAACTTATTCCGATGATTGAGCCGCCGGGTGGTGATTGGGCTAGGGCCATTTGGCGGCCTGCTGCTTGGGTTGCGTAGAAGGCGCCGGAGAGGTTGGTGGATATGGTGTGACCGAGGAGGGGAGGGTCGACCCTACAAACATATCAGTAACCTTTCCACTTGTAGAAATAGGGAAAGAAACTTACTCCAGAAACTCCGCAAACTTACACACGCCCGCGTTGCTCACGAAAACATCTAACCGACCAAACTCAGACACGGTCTCTGCAATAAACTTCTTCCCCGTCTCTGGCTGTGTGACATCCCCAGAAACAGTGAGGAATCTCTTCTCTTGCAATCCTGTAATCTCGACTGCGTCTTTGTTGATGGATTCGAGGAGTGCTTCTTCGTTTGGTCCGCCTAAGTGGTTAATGGCTACTTTGGCGCCGTGGCGGAGGTATTCAAGGGCGATGGCCTGGGTTCGTTAGAGAGACGTCTTCAGATTTGTTGAAAAGATATACGTACCCTGCCAATTCCAGTTAAACCACCTGTAATGGCAGCAACTTTGCCTACTAGGAGCAGCGGGAGAGGCATCTTTTTCTGCAATTGATTAATATAGAGTACTGTTGTCCTTCACAAGACGTTGTATGTTCTGCTGTCTGCGTCACACAATTGCAATTGACTCAACTTCGGGTTCCTTTGAAATAATCATTTCCCTTTCTTTTTCCATTGAATGTTTTCGACCCCGCGAAAGAGTGCGATAAGATAAGCCGGTTGTGGGGTTGTCTCGGGGGTTCGTGGTGATGATACCCCGAGGGGTGTAGCGGAGATTCACATGAGAACAGTTGGTGGTGGGGTACAATGGATGATCAATATGACGAAGTTTCAAATAAAGCAAACTGACATGTAGGAAGTATATATTCGTAGCATACAAATGTGGCTAATAAAAGAAGAAAGAAATACCAAGACATAGTAGATACAATCCATAAAAAGTCTAGAGTATCGCCTAGTAGTTAAGGTAGATTGCAAGATCTAATGACCAGTGCTATTGGAGCTCTGTTCATCAGTCGGGGCCGCAAGACTCTTCTGAGGTGCTGGAGTAAGAATCGAAGCAGCAGGAATCAAAGGTGCTGCGGGGTTAAGCTCCAGACCGAATCCTGGCTTGTCCAAGATAGAGACATCAAGGTATCCCTTGCTGGGAATGGGCTCGTTCAAGAAGAGGTTTCCAAAGACAGGCTCGACGCTCTTTCCATCAGCCGAGTTGGCCAGGTATTCTTGGAATGGGGTGTTGGGTTGGGAGACCACAAAGTGGTACGAGTATGGTCCTGACGCATGAGGAACGACAGGGAGGTCATAAGCGGCGGCAAGGGCAGAGACCTTGAGAAGCTCAGTCATACCACCGACCCACATGACATCGGGCTGGAGAATGTCAAGGTTACGGCCTTCGACCAGTTTCCGGAAGCCGTAGCGTGAGAACTCGTGTTCGCCGGTAGTGAACTTGACTGTGGGATGGGCTCGCTTGAGCAGGGCATGGCCGTCAAAGTCGTCAGGAGTGAGACATTCTTCCCACCAGTCAATGTCGATACCTTCTTTTTCGCATCGCTTAACGAGCTCAATAGTGTAGGGCACATTCAAGGACATGTAGCAGTCTACGCGCAGCGGGAAGTTGGGACCAACACTCTCTCGTTGCTTGCGGAGGTAGTCAACATTCTTCAACAGTCCTTCTGTTCCCTCATCGGGACCATGAGGCAGAGCCACCTTGGCTCCAGAGAAGCCCATGTCCCTGGCTGCTGCAGGTTGTGGGCCGGTGCAGTAAAAGTCAAGTCGCGAACGAGTAGCACCTCCGATGAGCTTATAGACCGGCTCGTTACGGACCTTGCCCAAGAGATCCCAGATAGCTAGGTCGATTACTGAGATGACTGCCACCGGGAGACCCTTCCGGCCGTAGAACATGGAAGCGCGATACATCTTTTCGAAGAGGTCATTTGTATCTCGGGGGTCTGTATACGGTTGAGCAGGTTTAGCTTGACGCCTTTCAGGACATGGTTGGAGGACTTAGTTAATCGCACCTGCGCCGAGCAAGAACCGCTCAAAGTGCTGCTGGACCAGCCAGCACGCCGGAGGGCCACCGAATCCTGTCGCAAAGCCCTTAGTTCCATCAGTGGCTTCCAGTTCCACACAGAAGGAACCCAAAACGTTGATTCCCCATGAAGTTCTCGAGCCACGGTATTGCGCCCATCGCGTCATAGGTGTAGAAATGTTGCTGTCGATCAACCAATGGCCGCCTTTGACCTAGACATGGCGGATTGGTATTCAGCACGAGTTCCTGGACCGCATCCTATCTCGCAATTTAACCTACATTGTGGTAGTCACCGCCAGATCCAACTCCATCGATGAGAAATGTCCGCACTTCCTTGATGCGGGGAAAAGAAGAAGCAGTTGTAGAACCCATGGTGATGAAGGCAGAACGTTGTAGTGGGTGTTTTAAACAGTCGATGCTAGAAGAAGAATTGAACAGAAGAACACCACTGATCACAAAAACAAAGGGAATTAATTGTATTTGAAGCCGGAATCACTGCGCGAATATCCTCGGATAGGACATTGCTCGGGGTATTGCTCCCCCGAGATCAACGAATAACCATTTCCCCGAGATGTATCCTGCACCGGCATTGTCCTGGGCAGTGAAAAGGACGGCTCGAGGAATTCTCTCGCTTATATCTTGGAGTCATTATGACCATAGCGAAACTATAAAATGATCAAATAGTATTTGCTATTTCCGTCTGTATCAACAAATAACACATGATATGGAGATGCCAAGATCTGATATGCGGGGTTGGTGCCTGGCTCCGATTTGTGCCTCAGGCATCATTACACCTGCATCTCATTTTCCTTGTCCAATTCTTCTTCGTTATTCTCACAATAGTTGGGTTCTTTCTTGCAAGTGCGTTTTTCATTCGCCGAGTGATTTGTCGGACGTGTATCCACACGCATAATGCCATACTATTCCCCTTTGGAGCCGCTTATCCTCTACTCCCGGTCTCGCTAGAACACCATGCCGAACGCAAGAGCTTCTGCCCAGAACCACGGCGATCAGGATAGAGACCTAAGTGCAGATGAACTCTGGTCTGCTGCAGAGAGTGAAATTAACAGCCGTCTCACTTGGAATGGTTCGAACGGACTGAAACGAAAGCGTCCGCTTACTGTGTCGTATGTCGCTGTCCGATGATTACTCGCAGATCCTAAATCTGACGCAGCTATCAGATGCGAGCTGTGCAAACAGAGAAAAGTCAAATGTGGTACGTAGTCTGTAATTGGATTGTTGATTGCAGCATATCTAATCTGGGGTCAACTATCTAGATCGAGCACAGCCTAGTTGTGGCTGGTGTTCTCGCAATGGCCAATTGTGCGAATACAAGGAAAGAAAGAAACCCGGCCTCCGAGCAGGGTATGGAAAGGAGCTAGAGCAACGGTTGGGTATGTCCTTGTATAATTGTGGGCAAGGTTGTTCCGTATTAATCTAATATCGGACGAACAGACAAGTTGGAAAAGACCGTTCAGTCGCAAGGTCGTCTTATCGAAACACACATTCTTCAGAACCCCCGGTTGCTCCCTGATCTGCCTCAAACCGGTTCCTTTCCCTATAGCTCTCCCTCGGAGCCTTCTGCTGCCCATAAGCCAAGTCCGCTCAATGACTTGGTCCGAGAACCGTCTTCCCTGCCGACTCATCCCTCTCAAGATACCCCAATTCTCTGCCAGCATGACTACACGGACAATGATTCATCATTGAATGTACCGGTGAATTTGTTTTCAAATCAAGCGCGTTCATTCGCAGATCCAGAACTTGAACTTCCTCCATACGACTTGCTGTATGCACTGGTTGATCTCTATTTTGAGCACGTCAATCCATGGTGCCCTATTCTTCATCGTCGGACGACCTTGGACATCTTCTTCGGGCCATCCCCTCTGGCCGAGGAAGACCGTATGGTACTCTATGCTATAGTTGCAACAACTCTCCGATTCTCTACAGACACTCGCCTCAACGAACGAAATAGGAAGCAGTACCATGACTCATCCAAACAAAAGGTGCTTCTCTACGGACTGGAGAACTCATCCGTTAAGGCGCTGCAGGCTCTGGTAATACTAGCACTTGATTTAGTTGGTTCATCCAATGGTCCGCCTGGATGGAAACTTCTTGCTCTCATAGCAAGGTCCGTGGTCCAACTGGGACTAGCAGTTGAGCCCAAGTCTCGTTTAGTCGCCCCTGTCTACCCTTCCATCTATACACTGAGAGCGGTTGTCCTTCCTGAACCAGACTCATGGGTCGAGGAAGAAGGCAGACGCCGGTTGTTCTGGATGGTATATCTGTTGGATAGATATTCGACTATAGCAACAGCTTTCGATTTCGCCTTGGATGACAAGGATATTGACCGCAAGCTTCCATGCAAAGATGAATATTTTGTCAAGAACAGGCCTGTGGAGACGAGATGGTTCTGTCATTCCCACAACCGAACTGAATACATCAATCGTGCGGAGAATGTCGGATTTCTGGGTCTTTATGTCGAGATACTAGGCATTCTCACGCGCATTCATCGTTTCTTGAAAAGGCCGGTGGATATCGCGTCATTGTCCGATGTCGAAGAGTGGCAAGCAACTTATCGCAAGCTTGATAGTGAGTTGACATCATGGGAGTTCAATCTCCCTACTGAGTATGCATACGAGAATTCGTCTCGACTGTTCAGCGGGTCAAAGCATGCTCGGGGTTTACAGTGTGACTGGGTGCAGCTCCATGCTGCTTATCAAACGTAAGCTCTTCCCTATTAACACAAGAAGCATTAATGACTAAGAAAACCCACCATAGAGCTGTGATCCGTCTTCATTCATCCGCTGCATACCCAACAACCCGCTCCCCAATCTTCACCCCATCATACAGCGCCAACCAACGATGTCTCTTAGCAGTCGACAACATCCTCTCCGTAACTCGCCTAGTGGTCAACAACAAGCTCCTCGACAAACTCGGTCCCCCATTCGCCTTCACCCTGTGGGTCTCAGCCCGCCTCTTGCTCGTCCACGGATCCACCATCGCGCACACAGTGAGCCCCGACTTTACTTTCTTCGTCGACACCCTCGCCCAAATGGGCATGTACTGGAAGGTAGCAGAGCGGTACAGCTCGATTCTACATCGCGTACTAGATGAGTACGGCGAGTACCAGCAATCCGGCGCAATAGATGACGAACGTGCCACACCATCTACAGTCAAGATATTAGCGGATATGCGTCGCTGTGCGTTTGATCTGGATTTCCTTATCTCGCGACAACCGCGCTCGTCGCCAGCTAGTAGCAGCCAACCACCGATGCCATCGACTGCAGGGCCCTTGCGGAACCTTGCGCCAAATGAACTGGAATACCTTGACGTCTTTGGCTTCTTCAATGTACCCCGTGTACCTCCCACGCGGGCTCTGGATATGCCTAGTCTCGACGTCGAGGTAGCAGGTAGCAATAATCCATCGCATATGCATGGGTTAGCTGGAGGAGCGGCAGATCCTATGGATGCAGCCGTGGATGGCCATTCATCGAATATGAATGACTTGAATATTACCAATTATCTCATTCCGACTCCAGAGACTGATTGGTTGTTTCGGCAGACGGGGTGATGCGATGCATCCTGTCAGGTGACGGCGCGAATCCGTTCTAAACATACACAAGATAGTGTATTCATAGCATTTACATGGTAAAGGTATAGCATGCACGTTAGTATAGCATGTACATTAGAACTTTCAATCAAGACATAACATCAAATATCAGCCTACCCTACCGTAGCCCCATAAGAAACATTCTTTCCATTCATGAATCAAACATATAGCAACACATTTTATCAAGACAAACATGTACGTATCTAACCCTGATGCTTCGATAATGCAAATCCCATACCCAAACAATCAACGCCACACCCAACGGCCATGAAGTATGAAGTGGAAAAATAAAGAGAAGCCCAAACAAGTAGAGCAATGCAATGAGATGATGGATTACCAGGTTATGTAACTTAGCGCTTACCAGGGCTTGGTTCTTCATCAGCCGGTTCGATTCTAACAAGGACTTCTTCAAGAAATCCTTCCAAGAAAGACGACACGTCTGCGCCCATTCCGATTGGTGCCTCTTGATCTAACCGCTCGATCCTGGTAAACATCCCGGATATGTCACTCACAAGCGACTCAATCATATCGTGTGCATATTCGCGACGTTCATGAAGGTCGATCACCTCGCTGCTCCGCTCATTGCCGACGTTCCGTCGAAGACGGTCCATTCGGCGGGAACGACGGCGTATAGCTGCCTTCAGTGCAGGAACAAGGACACTATTCAAAGCTGTGACCTCATTTGATGACGATGACGGTCTGGTTTCGTGAGAGCTGGCATGAGGGAAGTTGTTTGCGTTGCTGAAAGCGGAAACCGTAGGAGATTGCGGATTACGCGTTGGCGTCAGCGGCTGCGGCGGCCTGCTGATATCGTGTGAACTGACACCGGCTGCTCCGCGATGGTAGTTGGCGTTGTTGAAAGTGGACGTCGCAGGAGACTTCGGTGACTGCGTGTTACGCGTTGGTGTCTGTGGTTGCGAAGGCAGTTGCGGTGGTGGCGACCTGTGTTTGGGGGTTGGTGGAGGGCGGACATGGGGTTGAGCAAATGCTGGCTGCTGGGGACGTACATCTGGGGCTGGCATGAAGCCCTGACTGGGGATCTTAGGAGATTTATGTGGGGGTGGTGATGGGATGTGTCCTTGACGTGGAGATGCTTTCACAGGCTGCGCTGGAGGTTTTGGGGAGAGCTGTTCGGTTGACTCTGTCTTCAGTTCTCGGGAAGATAATCGGACATCCGCCGGGTGGTCAAGCTGAAGGAATCCTAAGTCCTGTACCAATGATTGCTGTAGTTCCCTGTCGTAATCGCTTGTGCCAGGGCTTTCCTTTTGCGAAAATACGGTGGGCCCTTGAAGGTGTGTAGGTGTTTGGGGCACGTTCTGTATGGATATCGGCTTTACGGGTGATGGTGGAAGAGGCACTTTCGATGGTGACGGATTAGGAATAGCTTGGAAACTGCTCCTTTGCGGCGGCATCGGCTGAGGACCGCTGGGTTTCCTATGTGGTGCTGCCAGTTGAGGGCCACTGGGCTTCCTTTGGTTCAATTGGGGTTGGTCACTCAAATCCCAATCCACATGTCCTTGGTTTCGGGTGTTTGTATCTGCGTCTTTCATCGGCTTCAGACCTGCTCCGCGTACTCCAGGACGGACAGTACCAAAGTCCCAAAGATCATCGTCTTCCACTTCTTGACGGGCTGCCTGTTGAGTTGGTGCATCATGAAAGGACATATAACTAAAGTCAGGCGCCTGCGTCTCACCAATATCTTTATTCTTCTCATTTGCCTTCTCTATTTGCCAGCGTTCATGGCGTTCGATCAACTCGGTTAAATATGTAGTCCTTTTAGCACGCTTAATAAATGGATGCTCGAGCAGTTCCCTGGCCGAAGGTCGTTCTCTGGGATCACGGCGCAAGCAGAGTTCGACAAAGTTCTTGAAATATCTGCTAAACTCGTCTCCTTGTAAGATCGGCGGGTGGTTCTTGGGAATCAAGAATAAGACTTTCATAGGATGGATGTCAGAGTAAGGGGGCTCTCCACAAGCTAGTTCAATCGCCGTGATCCCCAGAGACCAGATATCGGCCTTGTAGTCGTAACCAGACTGCTTGATGACTTCCGGGGCCATCCAAAAAGGCGTACCAACGAACGTATTCTTTTTCGTCATGGTTGCTGATAACTGTCCAGAGACGCCAAAGTCTGCCAATTTCACCTGACCATCTGCGGTTAAAAGAATGTTTGCGGCTGACATGGCTGTTAGCTTATGTGCGCAATATTGGGAAGATTGCAGATTCAGATGTACCTTTGATATCCCTATGTAACTTCTGATCATTGTGGAGGTATTCCAAGCCACGAAGCAATTCCCTGAGAATGATCATGATGTAGTCCTCCGATATTTTTCCGGGACGCAGCAAGTCTGAGCAGCTACCACCAGAGCAAAACTCCATGACGATCCACAAATGGGACCCCTTCAGGAACGAACCATAGTATCTCGTAACATGGGGAGAGTTGAGTTCAGAGAGAATCGCGATCTCCGAGATAATATCCTCGACGTCGTCTTCGGCATCTTCGACATCAACGACTTTGATCGCGACTGGTTTACCATTCCGGTTATCGACACTAGCGTATATTCATCGCGTCAGCATTGGCCACAATACATGGGACGCAGTGACCGCGCATTCAGTCAGGACATACCCTTTGTAAACTCGCCCAAAGCTTCCACCACCTGGACAGCCAAAGTTTAGTGATCCCGGTCTGTATGATTGATTTCGCACTTTCCGATTACACACCAATGCAGCTCTGTTTCGTATAGATGGATTCAGGATCCACTGGTCCTTCCATGATTGCGGTTTCAGATCACAGGAAGTGATTGATCATTAACCCGGGTCGACACTAGACAGCATTAATCCTGCGGGGTGTAAACAGAACGGACTGTATGAAGTAGGGAGGATGCACGAAAATGTGACAGGGAATGCAAAATGCAAACATATAGGCGAATAATTCACTGAATGACTTCGTCAAACAAGGAGATACTCACCAGTCCACGCGGTACGGATAAGAATAAACCGAGAGAGTGCCGCTGATATCTAAATCAAGCAACACAGAAAAGAAAAACACATAAAGATAGGCCAGATCACATCAATTAACTATAGCTTGCCAGAAACTGATATCAGTACAAAAGCTCCGAGGGAGGTTCGTTGCTGCCCTGGCGTGCTCCACTTACTTATTGTTTATCGGGCTGGTGGGATCGGGTGCTGTAAGCCATCAATCAATAACAAAACAACGACCTTTTGCGCGACTCAATCGGGAGGAATCACAGCCAGTGAGATCGGGACAAGAAATGCTCTGAGACCGGTGTCTCTGTCTGCTTTTTCAGGGATTAAAACAGGCGCTGGCAGCAATGCATGGAAATGTTTCCCTTGCGTTTATCTTGGAAGATCGAACCAGGCGCCGGGACAACCGCGGGGCTTATTCTGCCGGGCGGTCGGCGAGATCTCCGCACCAGTCACGGGCGGTGTGTGGAACTGGCGCTATGCCCGATTTGGTAAACAGGTATACTCGAAGTATTACATTCGAGATAATAATATATTTGAATTAAGATTGCTATTCTTGTCGACACTCTAATCTTTCTTCATACATACTGAATCATTACACTGAGAATCGGTATATGACATATGTATACATGTCTTGGTAAGAATGTAGGAAAGTTGTCCAGCTCTGTACTGCGAAAAGGACAAATAAGGAGACATGGTCCCAGCCTTGTCTAAACACCTGGTATCTTCAAGCCCAATACAGACGTAGTTAGTATAAAACGTCATTAAGACCCCCTCTTAATCTTCGTGATACCCGATCATAACTGTTCCGTTCTTCAGCCCAGCATCTGCGACACTTTCGTCGAGCTGGTTGATCAGATTGCGACCCATAGCATTGAGCTCGAATGTAACACCCTTTTTGTCCTCCAGAGGGGGGTCAGCCTTCAGCCATTCATAAATACGTCGTACAGGATCGGACAGAGCAAAGCGCCGGATCACTCTTCCAGATGGATGTCGGAATTGTATGCGGGTGGTTGTCGTTGGGTCAGCGGGAGGCTCTGTATGCGGCCGGTCTGCTGGAATCGATGCGAATAACGAAGTCTCAGGATCGAGTTCTTCTTCCTTCGCTCCAACCATGCTGACGTCCTCCGCTTCAGGGGCTTTGCCCTTGCCCTTGACATCTTCGACACTGCGAGTCAGTTCATCAGGATCCTCCACCTTGGGGGTCTGTGTTGCTTCTTCGCCCAAGCTATTCCGCATCGCCATTTCCAACATCTCTTCTTCCGTCATAGCATCGACAGTCTTCTCCTTCTTCTCAGGTTTCCGCTTTGCCACAGGATTCCGCACGTTGACCTTCAAACTGTATCGATCAAGGAACTCGTGAAGTTGGATTAGAAAATCGGCTACCTTAATTACGGGAGGTCCCTGTGACAAAACCTTCATCTGTTCGCCGGTCCGAGGGTCAACAATGGCGATATGGGGGTAGTTGTCGCCGACATCGTGCGCCTGGAAATAATATTGCAGATACAGCGTCGCACGAGGGTCGTCTTTGGAATACTGTAGAAAGACAAAGTGCTCTCTGATAGTTTCCTGAACGGTCGAGTCTTTCCACAGGTCTCTGTTGAGGAGTTGGCAGTCGAAAATCGACGAATCTTGAATGTTGATCAATATCCACTTCTCGTTCTCGCGGCCTTCCTCACGAGCTGCATCCCACGGAAGCCTCGACATAATCTCAAATGGTGGCCGGTACATTTCAGCAAGCATGTTCGATTTATTCGACGTTTCGGAAGCACCTCCGGTAGCTGCTGCGAGCCTCTCGCGGTTGGCCTGATCGGAGTCTTCTGCCCATATAGACGAGGTATCGCGTTGGTTGAAAATGCCAGGTCGGTCTAGAACGCACGCAAATTCAGTAACCTAGAGCGAGAATGAACTTGAGAAGCGAAATACTTACTGCTTCGTTGACCACGAGATCGCAACTGAGACAATATACTAGTATGCATGCCATCATCGAAATCTTCCTCTGGTCCCACCAAAGTTTCTGTTGTGCGCGCCATCGGTGCCCGCACATCATCTTCTACTCCTGCACCTCCTCCACTACCACCTGCACCGTAAATTTCTTCCTGAAGACGTCGTGCC